GTCTTGATAATTTTTGTGATATAAATACGAGAAAATTATAAATACTCGCCGAAAAGGCTATATTTGTCAAAAGTTTCAGAGAAAATAATACGTATTGAACAAATAATCTGTTCATCGTATAAGAAATAATGAACTTCATCAGTTCAGCTGATGACTATTGAAGAACGCATCAATCGAATCGAAATCATATAAAAAATCGCTTTCGTCTTTCGGATCGAACCAAGACCCTCCGGTACCGGACTAAAAAGAGGCTCATCAGTCGTCCATTCCGGGTCGAAATGATGATTAGACGTCCGGCGATGATAATAACACATTGTCTAAATTGAAATGGTTATTGGTTATTTACGAGCTGTGGAAATTGATGATATATTTGCGGTTGCGGTGCACCGCGAATGCTCCACACAACGACGATGCACCTCGGGCTTATTTATGATTATTTCTCGGACAGGGATGTATTCAGCACCATCGGATAGCACAAAAATCAAAGTTATTCTCGTTGAGAAACTACTAAAGCGCTTTCCTTTATCGGACCGCACCAGCATCGTCTAGACTTGGCCCCGAGTCAAGACAACGAACGAAAGCATATCAACCAGCCTCTATCTGAGGTGTGCGATCTATCGAAACAAGACGGTATAAAGTGCCATCTATTACCAGAATCGCAGGCTGCGAATGCGTAGGAAGTATACAGTCAATCTACTCGACACCATTTGAGATCGTAAAGGCTGAGTCAGCATTGGCGCGTTCATCATAATGTTAATCATCGGTTATATAATTGTGCCTAATTTGATGCATGAGAGACTGTATGGTGCCTGACCGCCCACTATCGGTACAGAACAGATCTCGTCCATCGTTCCTACGCTGATCTCGAATCAGCACGGCTAATACAGAGCGAGCCAAATCAATCCAAAAAGCAAACCGTCCCGTTAGAACAGAACTATAGCATGTCAAAAACAGCAATTGCACCGTTCCGCAGATAAAATACTATACAGGGTGGCACATCCATGCATGGACGGAATATTACTCATAAAGGAATACATTTTGAGAAAATCTATTTATGGCATGTTATACATGACATTCGAGGGCACATTTCTAAAATATATATATCACAGTTGATTTTTTAAATTGAATGCCTCAAATTTTATTGCATATTTGGATAAACCGATTCAAAAAGAAGTTTTGGTAATCAGCTACTGAGATGTAAGGTGTTTTGTCCAGAAAAACCGTTTAAAATCTGGAATGCTGAATTTTGTATCAAAAAAAACATACACATACCTCAGCTTTTATCTTATTGGACACTTTTTTCTCATACGCGGTGGTCAAAACCGCGAATTGTACTTTTTCTCAAAAATTTCAAATGCACCACCCTATATATTCGTGCAAGTTTGGATTCAATTTCTTATAAGCTTCCTTCGGTATAACGTTTGATTTAGATAAAATCACTAGATTTTGAGTTATTAAGCTTTTAGTAGAACAACACGCCATGGAAACAAAAGACAAACAGCGGGCTAGTTCCATATTGCCACTAACAGTACAGATTTGACGTAAAAACTAATAACAATCAGAACAGTATAAATCAGCTTCAATCGTAATAGAGAAAGAACAAGTTAAACAAACAACTATCACTAATCAAGACCTGATCTACAAAAACTGCTCGAGAATATCACCACCACGTTGAATACATAGTCTTTGGATAAATGACCGTTGCACATCCCTCAGCATGTGTTGCCTTATGTTCAGAAAAGCATCCTTAATCATTTCCTTCATATTTTCCGGGGTAGATGGTGGATATCTATAAACCTCTTGCTTAACGTAGCCCCATAGAAAGAAGTCCATCGGTGTCATATATGGTGATCTAGGAGGCCAATATATAGACCCATCACGACCGATCCAACGATTGTTACTCCAGGTATCCAAATAGTTACGCACACGATTATGATAATGCGCATATAAGGCATTCCATTTGAAAAATCACAACTTTGATATGAAATTGGTACACCCTGTATAATTGCCAATATTTAAGAAATATGCCCTCAAATGTCATGTATAACATCCCATAAATAGATTTTCCCAAAATGTATTTGTTTATGAGTAATATTCCGTCCACACAAGGATAGGCCACCCTGTATATAGTTCTTCGCAACAGGTGTGTCCACGCCTGGACTAAATTTTTTATCGGTCGATTTCGGTATTCTCTGTCAGCGTATGCATGGTAATATCATCTGCGGTGCGCGAGGCGACATTCAATACGCCTTATACAGGGTGTTTTCAAAGTTGAGTCATTTATTTTTAACTATTCAAAATAAGTTAATATACCAAAAAATCACCTATATAAAAGTTGTATAATAACATAGTTAGTTAACATTATTAAAAATTATTTAAAAAAAAACATTATGCGCGCATGCTGCTACTGCATTTTGTTGGCACTCACCGTACGTTTGTATCATGGCCACTAGTTCACTGTTCATTTTTTCGCCCAAAATAATCAGACAAATGAGACGCATCAGTAAACTGATTAAACCAACGACTGAAAACCATACAATAACACAAAAACTTTGCCAAATTTAAATAAACGATAAGAATAGTAAATAGTAGTAACATTTTGAAAGAAAGAAACGATGTTTCCTGAATACAAAACATCCTCACCAGTGGCGTGAAAAGTAAAACCTAAAACGCAATTTTGTCCAGCTAGAGAAAACCGCGTTATTAAAATTTCCTGAAATTTATGTACAAATGTATCTCGACGAGTTCTCAGTAACGAGATGATGTCGTCCACTATACGAAATGTGAAACCATGGGAAGTATAATATATACCTAATGTGAATGTGCCAGTAACCAGTAGTCTTACAAATGTTATATTATTGGTAAAAACTTGAATATTTGAAATCCTATACTTGCTGGTAATTGGTATCAGATTTGTCAACTAACTTTAACTTATCTTGAACAGAAAATTCGTAATTATACTTTGTATTCCATTTTTGTCTAGCTAATTTATATAGTAATCCACTATAGTAACATTGTTGATACGAACCACCATGTGGAACAGTGCGTATTCCACTTTGTGGCGGTACCTGAAACCATTAAAATGTATCGTGTCCACTTGTTGCTATGGGCCGAAATGACTGCATGGGCACGCATCGACCCAAAGACCAATGGGAAGCCGGTCGCGTGGTGCAATTGAAACAAAATAAGGGAAGAGAAACAATAGAAAGAAAAGAGATGCGCTGTGCTATACACCTGAATGTGAACCGCGCTGGGACAGTGGCAGGCAGGGTTGCCATATCGAGGGAGTTTCCCCCAAATCTGGGAGATAGTTCACAATCAAATTTGAAAAATAGTCTCAATTCGTTCGAAAAATAATTATATTATTTTTTATTTCCTTTCCTTCTACCTTCCTTTCGTCAGCTAGTGCAACCGCTAAAACTACTTGATGATTTTTTTGTAAGTTCAAATCTGGGGGATTTTGTGCTTGTCTCGGTGGAAATCTGGCAATGCCGCTGCTACAGAACGATTTTGATTGATCATCGGTTCCTTGACGCGACGATCTAGTTAGTCACTCTGCGGAATGCGGGATCCTGCGTTCCGCACATTTCACAGTTATCGTTTTAATTGAGACATTCGATCGTTGACAAGGACATTGTAATATGGGGATCAAATCGAATTTAGGTTCAACGTCATCGATCCGCCTACTAGTAATTGTTGCATTTTAGATTTTTATAGCATGCTGATATAAATACGATAGTGTGTAGGTATGTATGTTTGTACGAGGGACACTGGAAAATAATTTTAGCTAGCCATGACGAAACAATTGAAACACGAGAGCATTGCTCGAGGAAAAATGGCTCAAGTACATTGATGTACTGAAATATCTAACAAATCCCACGTCGTTTCTTTCACGGCTATGTTCTCTATAGACAAATACCAGAATTGATGACAGTAGCAAAAGTCATCGTGCGCCACTGCTTTGACGCTGTACCTTTTGATTACAGCTCCGCCTCCGCGTAATAGCAGTGGCGTACGATGAGTTTCGCTACTGTCATCAATTTTGGTATTTAACTATAGTACCCCTTGTATGTTCCGTTTTCACGCCAAAACGGCTGAATGGTTTTCGATAAATTTTGGCACAGATATAGATAAGACCTTGGAAACGGACGCTTTACAAATATTATGAAAATAAAACTTTAGGGGTTGAAATGGGGGGCAAGTGAATATTATCCTTGAAGTTGATATCGGTTTGTTATATTTGGTACTTGGTATGATGTAAATGAGCAGGTGGCTTGGAAAGTGTGCGAAAGTGAAGTTGAGGCTAACATGCTTTGAGCTGAAGAACCTTGAATATTTCAAATCGAGCCTAGATGTAGGAGGTTGTTTTATCTATAATGTCATCTTTAAAATGAAAAACGTTAACCTCGATATTAGCAAAGAATTTCGAAAATTATATCCTTAAGATGGTGTAGTGGAGGATTGATCTTTTCGACGGGGAACCTTATATCACTTTTCAAGTTAAGCTTATACAGGGTGTTTTCAAAGTTGAGTCAGTTATTTTAACGGCTTATATGACTTGTCAAAAGTTGATATACCAAAGATCACCTATATAAAATGCAGCCGCAGCCACACGGATGGATATAGGGAGGCTAGAAGGCTAAATATGTTTTTCTATTAAGAACAGATTTTGCGTGATACTTCCTGAAAGTATATCCTTAAAATCAGATAAGAGGGGGTTTAATATCCCTATGGGGAACCTTAAAGAATTTTTCGTAATAAAATATAAGCTTTTCAATGAATAAAATAATCATCTGGTAGTAGCATATGTGACGGAATGAGTAAGTAGTGTCATAAATTTTATCGAGAAGCGACAGTCAATTAAACCTTGACAGCTATGAGTTATGCGTCGCGATCCGCGACCGGCCTGTTGCTGTACCGTGCCAAATCTGCACGCGGAAAATTATTATGAAACGGCACAGCACAGGCACACCTGGCAGCCAAGCACAAAAAGACTTGATCAATAAACGAATAAACTCCCGCACTTTTTCGTCTGGCGACGACTTCTTCACTTACTTTTGGCACACGCACGCTATTCGCATCTGTGATAACACTTGTCGACAATGTTTTTTCCCAGAAACCAGAGTACCTACACTTTTCGCTGAGGTTTTCAACGAGTTGAATTCGAATGCGAATATAATATTTTTTCAAAAAATTATTCATATTCATTCTTGCTATTTCTTTTCAGTTTGTGGTGTCCGCGTTGGTGTTTGTGGTGGCGCTAGCGACAGCCGTGATAGAGTGCCGCCATCTGGTGGACGACCTCGAGAACGAGGTCAGCCAGACGGCGGAGGGCAACATCGGCCTGCCCCTAGGCGGCCCCGTCCAGGGGGGCCATCCTGGCGGGGAGTGGGTCAAGATCAATCATCCGCCGGTGTCTGTGGTCACGAGGAAAGTAGGACAACACGTCGAATTACGGTGTGATGCGATGGGATCGCCCCCACCCACTATACAATGGTTCAAGAGGAATCAAAGGATCACAGAGGTAAGATTTTCCAATTTTCAAATCACCCTGGAAAGAAAAAATGAATTCCAAAGATTTGTGATTTTATAAATCTGTTGAAACATTACGAATACTTTGTTACAAAACAAGAAATGACAGTACTATCTCCCGCAGAACGAGAGCTTCGAAGACAACAACCTTATAACGGGCAGCCTCAGCCTGGCGAAAGTCTCCTCCCGTTTGGTAATCAACTACGTTCTCCCGAGACACCAGGATATCTACAGATGCGTAGCAGAAAGCGGGTCCAAAGTGATCAGCGCAGCTTCAAAACTGATCGTCACCAACAAAGAAGGCAGAGAAATGAACCTTACGCAGCTGATCAACGCCAAGATCCTTGGGGCACACCATCTGCCTAGGGTCACCTTCTGGGCATCGACATACATGGACGTCATAGGTACGTCTAAGTTGAGCCTAAGCCAAGTCAAATCAAGTCTAAGTCAAGTCTAAGCGAAGTCTAATTCAAGTCTAAGCCCAGTCTAAGTCAAGTCAAGTCTAAGTCAAATCTAAGTCAAGTCAAGTCTAAGTCATATCTAATTCAAGTCTAAGTGTAAGTCAAGTCTAAGTCAAGCCTAAGTCAAGTCCAAGTCAAATCCAAGTCAAGTCCAACTTAAGTCTCACTCAATAAATATTTTTGTAGGTATTGGTTACATTCATGATACATGAAAAAAAGTTGAGGATACTTTTATCATCCCCCGAGACACGATTTTTGTCGATTTCTAAATTATAACTTTTCATTTTATATTTAAGAAATAATTTCTCCGTTTTTCGAATCGCCTTCTATACGGAACTAAGGCTAAATTATGTCTATTTCTCCCTTTTTTTTTCAAGTTTGCATCTTGATAGAGAGTTTTTATTTTTTATTAGGTAACGACGTGATCCTGCCGTGCAAGTTCGTGGGCAACCCTAAGCCGTTGGTGATATGGATCGACCCTTACAGCAAAGTGATAGAGAGCGACGGTGAGAAGTATTCGGTGTCCCAAGATGGAGAGTTGAAGATCAGGTCAATAAGTTGGTCGGACATGGGGCCGTACACGTGCGTTGTTGAAAACTCGGCGGGCGAAGATTCTGTAGAAACGTTTTTGTATCCAATGCAGGTGAGGATTCACACTCTATTTTAATCGTTGAAGATATTTGGCCAGAGTGCTGTATATCATCACGTGTACTTTTCGGAAATTGTGAATTTGAATGTATATACTTTTCTATTGTTTCAGGAATCAACGAAATAACGGCCACCGCACCACCCGACCAAGTCCTTCCCCTCCAAACTCTGATTCTAGTCAAATTTTTCTTAAGCATTCCAAGGCAAAAATGAGCTTGGATATTTTTTTAATTTATACTTTTTAGTATCGATGAACTAGTATTTATATGATAGGTATTAATAGTGTAATTAAATTATGTACTTATTTATATTGTTAAAAAAGAATTTTTAAAGATGTAATTAAAGAAATTACAAACACCTGATCCGTTGTTTTCTTTTTCTCGTGGAAAAATCTAGACAGGCTAAGTTTCAGGTCCAAAAATACGCAATGGAAATGCATGTAACTAGTTAAATGCAATCTTTCCAAAAACACAAAAAGCTGTATTCTCAAAGACTTACCACTTTCAGCAGTAATGTGTTCAAAACTTTTGAAATCCATCTTAGCTATAAAAATAAAAAAACAATGGAAATGTCGTCTATATGCATAATACGTAAAAAATCTTATACTCAATTTTATAGTTACTCAAACTATCTGTAAGTGAACGTTGGGAATGGGTATACCTGTTTTTAACATATAACTAGATAATTTGTTGCGCTAAATGAAAAATCCTAATGTTACTTCATATTTGAAATCCATGCCATTCTGTACCCCAGAGCCAGACTAGGTTAAGTCCATTATTCTCAAAAATGAGTTTAATATGTTAAGCTTATGACAATATTGTGAATTTTCATTCGTTACATGCAGCCACCAGCTATCTGCCAAAATAAGGAAGTTATGACTTTCTAATTCATGTCAAGTCGCATACAATACAATGCAACAAAAATATTTCAAATAGAATTATCTCAAAACTACTTATTTGGACATCCTAGTATGGCTCCGAGTCTGAGGTACAGAATTAAAACCCTTACAAAACCAGCGTTCAAAAAAGTTTGGCGGGCGCCATCTATTGATGTAAAAGTAATGTAAACAACCCGTTACTCTCCCTATAAAAAACGAAAACTTCAAAAGTAAGCCTTGGAAATCTGCTATTTCAGAGGTAAGGTGTAGGCAACCCGTATTACCTTTCCAGTTCAAATTTAAAAAGCAGCATGTAGTAGATTGCAAATTCAACCGATGATCAAAGAAAAACGAAAAAAGGGATCGTCCCTAGGGTGTCTATGACTTTAAAATCTTAAAGACCCCGTCAATCTTATAATAAGTCATGTCCGAATTATGCTTACTTATGGAATTCAGAGGCCCGAGTAAAGATAACATGGCCACGCAAGATAACTATTGAAATATACTCTACTAGACTATCCGTAGGTAAATTTTTCTCGAAATACTTAAAAATATGCAAATGAAGATTGGAAAACTGGACTCCGTCAGTCGTTACCAGGGGATAGACATACGTTTTGAAAGTTGATCTTGTCATTCTTGTCAACTGGATTGCGGCGTTGCCAGCTCATTGGACGATTTTGCTACCTCAGCTATCACCAATTCCCTGGACCTTTTGTTCGAGGCCTTGCTAAGAGTTTTCAGATTTTCCAAAAATGAATGTAAGTACATAAGAATACTTACAAGAACGTTAGATTCGTGCACGTTTCGTTTTTATAATAATGTATTACAGGGTGGCCAAGATAAGGATCAGACTAGGTTAAGCTCCGTAATCTTACATCAAACATTTGTTTGCAACGCCTGCTTAAATATAATGAAAAAATAGAAAAAACACGTTTGTTCATAAATAAAAAACAAAGGTAACGTGATACATCGTTGTCGTAGAAAAAGCTGCTATTAGATACAGTGTAGCACTTTTTTAAAAACGCCATCATGTAGTGCCTAAATAGTACCATTAGTTTTTTGACGTTTCTTAAAATAAAGTCAGACAAAAATAGAAACGATTTGGCCAAATTTTAGTTTTTTCCAGATACCTCAGTATATGACTAATTTCTCAGAGCATGCAATGTCCTCAATTTATTTTAAAAAGAGATGTCAACCCTTACACACAAGTAGATGAGTATGCAAGGCTCATCTAGTTTCCTGCACATATATCCTTTTCCCTCAGAAGAGTTGGAAGTAGACCTAATTTCCACTTTGGAGACACTTGACACACACTTCACAACACCAAGGCACCACTGAAAGACAAGCGAGCACCCTATAGTGAACACCACTATTGAAAAAAGTAGCTAAACCGAATAGAGCTCTGTACAGAGCTGTGAACGCGTAGATGTTCCGCTGCGTCGACGGTTGTCGAGAGACTGAAGCGTGCGAGTGCTGTATCTCGCTGCGACGATACGGTACGGCCGGGTAATACAGCCACGCCCTTTTCCAACTCTCACTCCGCGCGTCTGCTCCCGAAGCGACTCGATGTTTACGTTGACCGGTAACACTCAGACGCTTCAGTCTCTTGGCAACCGCCGGCGCAGCGGAATGTCTACGCGCTCAAAGGTCCGTGCAGAACTCTATTCGGGTTAGCTACTTTTTTCCGGTAGTGGTGCTCAATATAGGGTTCTCGATTGTCTCTCAGTATTGCTTTGGTGTTTGTGTTGTGACGTGGATGTCAAGTGTCTCCAAATTGGAAATTAGGTCCACCTCCAATTCTTCTGAGGGAAACAGGATATCTGCGCCCGGTGAGCCTTGCATACTCATCTAGTTGTGTGTTAGGGTTGACATGCCATGTGTTTTTTTGCACCGAAAGATTAGTCATATACTGAGCTATATCTCAATCGCCAGATCAATGTTAGTCAAAGAATCTATTAATGATCATGTAATTTTAGATCAAATACTTAATAAATATATTTATATACTAAAAAAATGTTTTCTTTTTCCAATTGTTGGAAGAAGTCCCACATTCAAAAAGTATTTTATCCTATAAAACTGGGCATTTATAAAAGTGTTCAGAGACATTAATGTTCCGCAGCATAGACGCCAGGCAACGCAAGATGTAAATTTTTTTTGTCTTTTGGCAAACATTGCTACACCTCAAATTTTATATACCTCCATTGGTATCCCTCAATGTTTTATTCAAAGCTTCTTTTTTATATAACATTCTAGCAACATAACTTTTTTATATAACATAGCAAAATTATCCGATGAGTTGGCAACGCAGCAATTTAGGTGACAAGAATGACAAGGTCAACTGCTAAAACGTATGAATATCCCGGGGTAACGGCGTAGTCATATTGAACGTCAAAGCGGCAGTTTTCCAATCTTCATTTGCATTTTTTAAGCGGTGTGCTACGATTTCGATAAAAATTTCGCCACGTATAGTCTTCTATGTTTACTCGAACCAATTCAGATTCTAACAAAACAGCTAAGTTTATCAAGGACCTTAAAGCTAATATTTTGCGCAACATGCGCCATCTAACTACTCCCGGCGCAACTGGAAACTGTCAAAACGAGAGGAAATTCCATCTGTTCCCGCCACTGTTCACAACGGGATATCGCGAAAAAATCTCTTACGAAACTGACATAGTATGCCTTGGAATCTGGTATTTCGGAGGTAAGGTATAGGTATATTACCTTCCTGGTTCAAATTCAGAAGGAAAAAGCAAGTATTCTTTGAGAAAATACGGTCATGATATGGATGCTCGATGCAAAAATTCAAGATTGCAGATTCTACCGATTATCAAGGCGAAAAGGTGAAAATAGTAGATGTACCTATGATTTTTAAAAACCGATCGATGCTATCGATTATATCATGTTGGAATTATGGGTACCTATGAAAAAAATTACAGGTTTCATTTTGGAATCTACGATTTGACAGTTACTTTTCGGGAAAAAAAATTGGAACACATCTGCGTCGTCAGTTACGCGCTTCATGAGGCACCAAACTGATGCATCATCAGGTCAAGCGAAATTGCACTGATAGTAAGAAAAAATTACCTTTTTAACTTTTTTCTGGCCGATTTGAGATTTTACAACACCCTTTAACAAGCAGACACTCGCTATTCACGTTGTTTGCTAGAAACAATCGGTAGAAACTGAAAATCAAGATCAAGGCACACTAATCAAATTGTGCGAAATAAGAAACAAATGGCGGTACAGAACACAAAATAAGAAGTGAGTCCTGTCAGTGCATTTGAACTACTCCAGCATTCTAGCCCGTAGCGCCGATCTTATTTTTTATACTGACGCAGCGTGGCTATGCATTAAGAAAACTTTTTCTTCCTCCAACCAAAACACAAAAAATATTTTTTTTCTGATGTTCATCGTTCAAGTGTGATCATGAAATGAAAAACATTTATAATTTTTAACCAATCGTGTTTATTTGAAATACTTTTCCCTTTAGGAACCAAAATTTCTGAAAGTCAGTCTTAATAATAATAGAACCTTACAAAATAAAAATAATCTAAGTACATATAAATTAAAACAGTATTTACAATATTTTTTACAATGTTCTCTAGCACTTAAGTTTATGTACACAGCTTACGAACCCATAACATTATATGAACACAACAAACGATAACGATATGATTTCATAATATATTACAGAGAATACGAAATATTATTACGACGATGACGTTTCTAGCAAGGTGAAAGACCTGGAAAACCGCTTCCGGAATGTACGAGAAAATATTATAAGTTAAAACACATCACAGAAAAATAAGACGAGAGTATGATATATTTTGCGATAATACTTGTCGTTTTCAAATAAGGTGGTACGTTTTTGTGCTTTACGGAGTTTCTACGATATTTTCTAGCCACACACCTCGTGCAAGGTTTGTTCCAACAAGCTGTTCTGAACTAGTTCAGAACTAATTCCGAATTCTAGTAGAACAGAGAATTACTTGTTTTTGTGTGGTAAACATAACCTTCATTGGAGTAACATTTCAGATAATTTATTGTTTTTTGACGTACTGTGACCAAAATTGAGATCGACGCTTAGGCAACCAGAATTACGTATTATGTATGGAGTGGGGTCACACCGTTCGCGAGTATTGGACATGTCTGGAGATGAATCTGCTGCCATCTACACTACTTCCATCGAGATTTACGACTAGGAATGGAAAACGCTGCAATGGTTCTGGACTCGTCGATCATGAGATAAATACCCGACCAGATGGCGGAAGCAGTCAGTGACAGTCGAGACTGTGTACAGCGAACGAGCAATTAGGATGGATTAATGGTCCAGACGACATAGTTATAAATTTGTTGCAATTGTTATAAAAGAGTAAGACATTGAACAAAACGGTGTTTTCGTTAGAATATAAACAGAAGAAAACGCGAATACAATTATAGAGAGACGCACAAAACAGGTGATGGCATATAAGCTCGGCTGTTCTCGTTTAGTCGGAAATAAATGCGGTGTAGCCAGATAGATCATAATTTTTGGATGAATTCATCGACCATCACTTGTAATGATCGGATTTTTTGTTCAAATTTATTTATGGTGGGGATATTTATCACATATTTGCACCACGTAACCACCAAAAACGGTCTAAAGAGCAAAACTCCCCTGCTTAGTATAAAAGCAGCGTTTTTTAAACATTTTGTGGCAGCTTGGCAACACCGCATTTGTACAAGGACATCCCACACATAGATCGCTGTTTTTAATTGTAAAGTAATAGTCCAAGAGAAAACTCGACAAGTTTGCTGTTTAACATCAGTAGTACTATAATTTTTATGACTTTCAAGGGCTTCTCTTTGATGAAACTATTATTTGTCTTTAAATAACATAACATTAAAATTACCAATGACATGACTGGAACAAATTCAGTAAAATTATCAATGCTTGACTATCTAATTTTCATTTCTGGTAACTGGATCTTCACTTGAATCTGCTCCAAAGTAATCTTTATCGTTATCCATTTTTTGGAGAAGATTGGAAATTTAGAAAAGGCACAAAATCCAGCTTCCCAGCAATTTATTCTGTAAACGCGCGTTCGAACTTTCAGTTTTCTCTCTGAATCAGTTCAGAATCGGCCCGGAATCAGTACAAACTTTTTCGATCAGAATAATCAGTTCCGTTTTCTGTTTTAACGGTAATTTCAATCTGCTCGTTCAGTTCAGAACTAGTTCGTTGGTTTGATGGAACAAAAACATAAGCATCATTTCAAGTTTTTACAAGTGATAAGCAGACCATTGCATCCTTAAGCAGTGTTGCCGAACCTACCGATTTTTCCGTATTTCTGCCGAAATGAAATATTATTTCCCACGATTTTTTGAAACAATTCAGATATTTCCAGATTTTTCACCAAAAAAAAAAAGGAATTTCGTCTTTTTAGGTTCGGCAACACTGCCTTAAAACTGAAAAACTTGGTTTACTACGTATTTTTAGAGTAAATGTATTATTTTCTTTTCGAACTTTTCTGATGTACATGCAAATAACTGTTCAGAACAAAGGACTTAAACTGCAGAAAAAAGTACGGGCATGTGGCGTAAAAAATAAAAACTCACACATATCCTTTCACCTTAATCACTACTAGCACGATTTGCAAACTGTTTTAAATTCAAGACCCAACAATCTCGCTAAAAATATTTCACGTGGTGTGAGAAAATGTATCACAACGAGCATTATTAGAAATACGCAAAAATGACACATTCGAATATGCGGACATTGAACATACTTAATAGATCACATACGTTCAGTACCTGTTAGGATATAAAATTTGTATTGCTATCAGCTACTGGCCTATCAATAACTGGCAAAGATTCATTCGTAAAACACCTAAAAATTGTTACAAGATAAAAGTGTAAAATATCTTTAAATGATGTCGCACAGCGTTTAGAAGAAAAACAGTCTGCAAACCATTCGGAAATCGCGAATTTGAGCAAAAACCGCTAAAAGAAAAAATAAATAATTTTGTATAGCCTAGTTAAAAATCACAATGCGTAAGATATAGTATAAAAGTCCTGGCATCTTCATCTTTTTTGTATCATTTGAAACAAAGATCGATTTAAAAAAAAAATAATGTTTCCTCCATTCATGAGATTCATCACTATAAACGACAACCTTCACAATTATCATAAGTCTACGCACAACCTGTAAATTGGAGCAGATTCAAATAATTTCATAATAAACAGAAACATTGATAGAAGCGTACGCGTCTTCGCATGTCTTGTGCCACAACATACAACAATAATTTATATTTTTACAATTGACTACGAGTAATTTAATCTTACCAATTTAATTGTGACAGACGAAGGCAGAATTTAATGTGACTAATTCATTTTCCTACTAAGAACTTGTATCAATGTTCCGAATAGCAAATGAAACGTTTCGTTCGCTGTCAGACCGGTACTGATAGGCGTTTCTCGTTGGGATCGCTGGTCGGGGTGCCGACAAACGCGACGGTGTTGCCAGATCTCACTTAGCATCATGCGCGGTAAAGTTTCACCGTTGGGAACCATATTTTTGAATCAGCTCTCGTATAAAACCTTGTATTTTTTCCCAAAGTACCTATCAAAAAACCTTTTACATAACAGGTGACGTTGATAGATGCCAGGACTTTGCAACCTTGTAGCGAGAATGCCGTACGCGGACGACGTTCGAACGACAACACCTAAATATGACGTCATGACAAAATACTATCAAGATCGAGCGCGGTGTTTTGTTGCAAATTGAGGATGGAATCGATCGCCGACTGCACCTGCTCGTCGATGCTGTTCTCGGGCCGGTCCTCCTCTTTCTCGTCTTCGTGGAGCATCGAGGGGTCCCCCATTGCACCCCCCGCCGCTCCGACGCCGCTTATCACACTCATCTGTGCGCCCATCTCGCCGCCTGAAAGGGAAAAAAACGCCTTCAAGTGGGTTGACTACTATAGCCCTCGCGCAATTTCATTTCTTCATGTGCACAGAGTAAAACTCCACAGTTCAAGAGTGCATATGACATTTTTGAGTAAACGTATTCACAGCTTTCCAGATTCCTAATTAAATAAATGGTCTTGGATAGTTCCCTGAGAATACTGTTTGCATGTTCCCCCTAAATCATGTGTGTATCAATATTGACACCCACAAATTTTACTTATTACCATGGACTGTGTTTTTGAAGCATCGAGTGTCAGTTTGTTTGCTGAAAACTAATTTTTTCAATTTATTATACAGGGTGTAAACGTTATGATAGTCATTATTTAAATGATGATAGAGGTCCAAAAGTTCATATGACCCATGGTCCAAAAGTCAATAGATTTTTGTCTAAATGGCTACTAGAGGTAGTATCGTTGAAGGTTGCAATCTGCAGTCTGTTGCTCAAATAAAATGACGAGAGCCTAGTAGTGCTACCAGGGGCCTTAAAAAGATAAAAAAAAATCAGCTAAGCAACGAGCGCGACTATTTATTTTTTTAAAAAATGAACTTGTTCCTCTCACCCGTACCATGAATATGTACATCGTTGGGCCTCTTGTGGTGCTTGTCGACCCTGAACCTTTTCAACGTCTCCAATCGGGAATCGCTGCTCGCCGACCGTTTCGGCATCTGCGGCTGTTGAGCGTGATGCTTCGACGCTGGAGGAGGCAGGTTAGGCTCTTGATGATGATGTTGCTGCTGCTGATGATGATGGTGGTGATGCTGTTGAGGATGAGCTTGCGATTGAGGCTGCTGTTGTTGCGGTAAGCAGCCGAGCTCGCGCTGGATACACGCCCACTGCGGAAACAGAATTACCGTTTTAGGTATAGTTCATGACAGACTTATAGTGCCTGCTAGCGACGGTTGGTTTATTTTTTATTTAAAGCAGTTGATTCGAGACTTTATTTAACAAATTAGGAACATCAAACAGCGTGTAAAAAAATAGAACGATGGAAAGAACGGTTATAACTTAACGTTTTACTTTTAGGAATAAAACCAGCCGGAGATCTCACCTCGTCGTAATCCTCCTGATGCGAGTCTCCAGCAGGTCCGTTGGTGCCGCTCTGCGACGCCGCCTGCGCGCCCGGATTGGCCGCGCTGTGACTAGTCGACGGTTGCTGCGTCTGCTGATTGGTCAGCCGCGGCGAAGGAGGAGGCATAGGGGGCGGCGGCATCGCCGGAGGCGGTGACGGTTCGGGACCGGTAGCGGCCGCGGCATCTGCGTGCGCTTGCTGCAACACCTCCTGCTCGTATTCCTGCCGCAAGCGCAGGATAGATTGCTGCTCCTCGGCGAGGAACATGCGATCGATCATCATCAGCTCGGAAGTCTGCACTTGACGCTGAAACGAAAAGCGCGGAGATTCCTTGAGTAATTATTGTTGAAAGCGCATTTGAGGAACATATGATCGAGTCCTATGCTCGGTGCTAAGATTTTTACATAAAGTTATAAATAGAATAGAATAAATAGAAATTTGTTGATAAAAAAACTAGAAAAACATGGTTTTGAAGGCAACGTTTTAAGATGGTTCTCAGGATACTTGGAACAAAGAACTCAGCGAACAAAGTACAAAAACTCCTTATCTTCTGTAAGAGAAAATAGACACGGTGTGCCTCAGGGAACAGTGTTGGGTCCTGATCTGTTCGTGCTGTATATAAACGATATTGTAAAGGCTGTAAACAATTGCAAAATTCAGTTGTTTGCAGACGATACAATTTTGGTCATGGAATGTGACAACGTAGACAATTTGGTTAAAATGATTGATGAAGACTTAAAGACATTATATGCCTGGTTAGGGAACAATAGTCTTAGTATTAATGTTGACAAGACTAAGTGTATGATACTGAAATATAAATGTAATGTTCAGGATACTTATCTGCAGGACGGATTTATAATTGAAAATAATAAGAATAAACCCATTAACAAGTATGAATATTTAGGAGTTATGATAGACTCAAATTTAACATTCAATAGCCATGCAGATTATATTATAAAAAAAGTTAATTTAATGTGTAGGGTAACAAAGGACCTTAGTTCATGGACGCCACTACTTACATATAAAACAATAGTCATGCCTCACTTTAACTACTGTTCCTCCATATTATATATGTTTCAGAAAGGTGATATAGATTCACTACAGAGAAAACAAAATCAGGCTCTTAGATGTATATTAAGATGTAATAGATACACAAGAATTAAAGACATGTTAGAAGTAACTAATTTATTAAGTATCAAACAAAATATATTTTACAATACAATGAAGCCATCTACAAAATAATGAATGGAATGTATCCTGAACACATATTGGAAGGTTTGCAATTTGTCTGTGATATTCATAGTTACAATACAAGGAATAGGTTTGATTTTTATGTTCCTGCTGTGGGGACTGCTTTTGCGCAAAATAGTTTATTTCATAAAGGCCTTATACATTTTAATAATTTACCAGCTGAAGTCAAATCTACAAATTTTGTCAAATTCAAAAGACAATTGAGAATTTATGTAGAAAATAGTGTTAGTTTTAGATAATAATATTATATATATATATATATATATATATATATATATATATATATATATATTGTATTGTTTAGCTTGAAGCTATTAATAAAGATAATAATACTAATAATATATTTGTTTGTCCTTCTTTGATATTCCGCTGTCGTCACATTTCCGATTTATTTTCGCTGTTGGTATATTTAATGTAAATGGTGGGAATTATAAATGAATAAACCTGAGGAGGATTTGCAAACACTTTGTTACTCACCATGCTCTCCTTCATCAACAGATATTTGTACTTATCCACCATCCTGGCATACTTCCCGATGAAATGCCTGGCGGTCAGTTCGAAAATCTCGTCCGCCTTGTCGAGGTCCTTTTCGGAGAGTACCGGCTGGTCGAGGCAGTGGTACCGAATCAACCGGATGCAAGCGTCCTTTTTGTCGCGAAACGCGGTGTGGATGTCCGGTTTTATGACGCCGTTCTGGTCCAGGTTCAGTTGATTTTCGATCCTGAAATATTAAAGTGATGCAGGCAAACTGACTAGCCAAATATCGACCCTGATTTAGAAAAAAAAAACTGTTATAAGCTGTCTAAGAACGGGGTTAGATTCTTGAAGTTATATGGAAAAGCCTTTCATTGAGAGATGCGATCATTTTTATTTATTATTAAACGACAAAGTTGTAAAATTCACTCGCATATATTCAAATAGTTGTGAGCTCTTGGTATGTGTTTCATTTTATATGTCACTTTGTATAAATGTTCAACAAACAAACAACCAAACGGTTGCTGCAAATTCCTAAATTATTTTTTTTTAGATAAATTCCAGCGACTTTGGCTCAATCAAATTTGTTTCATTCTCTTGCTAGATAATTAACATGGTATTAAAAGAGACTAGAAAAAAGAAACACTTATCGACCTTTCGGGAATCCAATGAACAGTAAATGAAGAGCGTGTACAAAACTTGGTCAAGAAAACAAGAACCGCCTTCAAATGCTAAAGGCATACTTACATTTGCGCCTTCTTGGCCAGCGACAGCTGAAACTGCTGCTGTTGCTGATGCATCAGCTGCGCCTGGTGCTGTTGCTGGGCCAGCTTCGCTTGATGCTGCAGCTGCTGCTGTTGGTGATGTTGGTGGTGCGCGTGGTGATGGGAAGCATGCTGATGTTGGCTGACGACAGGATGAGGATGCGAATGGGCGGATGGCGCTTGGGAACACGCGTGCGTTTGGGTCGCGATGCTCTCGCTAGATGGCGCCATCGCACTGCTGGAGACGCAGCGCGACGGTACCGGTGGCGGGCCTTGTTGAAGCGTTAACGGCGGAGGCTGCAAACAAGTATAAAGGTTACTATAGAAGTTTTGCAATATGACTTAAGAAACGGACGCACGAGGCTGCATGTTACTCCATCTTGCAAGGCATCGTGGCCACGTTGTGAGATAAGGGCAGATTTACGGTATAACTTTACGCGTGATTTAAGCATTAGAAGAAATGACGCTTGCATTAAGGAATGATTGTCCTCATCGTACGACTATATTCATGTGGAAAGGGGAAATTTAACTCTGGAGGACGCCGCGAACGTCAGTAACAGAGGAAAACATTACCGCTTGACGAAGACCGGAGAGTGGCATACCAACAGATATAGGAGACCTTACACCTTCATGCATCAGCAGTTCATTCAATTCTGCATGAGCTTTTACACGTAAGGAAGCTTTGATTTCTCTGGGTACCGCCTAGTCTGACGAAAGAGCAGAAGACTCGTCGTACGACTGTATAGTATTTATTAGTAATAAAACGTTCAACTTATCTTCGTTCCAGAGATTTTGTTTGTTTGTTGAAGATTTATTTAGCATATAGCAATGTCATTTTTGTATAATAGTTTACATATTTTTTGAATCAATTTTCTATAGTTTTACATTCTTATTTGTTAAAATCAATATGCATTTTGGGTTGTCATATAGTGATTTTTTAATTTCACCTTGAACATTTCTAAAATTCGAACACTGTTTAAAATCGTTTTTCAATTTAACAAATTATTTTCAACTACAGATTTGCTAGTTACGCTATTATTACAATTTTGTAGATGAAAATCTATCTAGTTATGATAATTATTGTTTAATTTTGTTGTTTTCTAAATGTGATGGTTTATTTCAATATGATCATGAAAATGAGCACTCAATAATTGTTTTTTACATTCAACCACTATACCTTCCCACTTCAGTTGGCCCAACTATTGAAATCTTAGTTTTTTTCTTATCAAACACAAATAATAAACATGTAGCAGGGTGTTATAGGTTTAAAATATTAACAATGAATATTTTGATAATATATTGTAGAAAACACCAACTTTATCACTCCCTAATCAAATTTGCAGCATAAAAATAACACATGTTGCAATTACAGCATATCAACCTATTTTCATTTCAATGCAAAATAAGTCTATAACGCATACGTGGCTGTGAAAAATAAAAGCCATGACAATTGTTTTTATTAATCATAGCTGTCAAAATACGTTTGAAATAGTTTTGGGTAGTTACGGTTTTCAAAATGGGTAGAGGAAAGGTTATTAGTGAGAAAATTCGGTTACTGATAATCAAATTTTTTAATTCTAGGAAATCAAACTAAGAAATTGCAACCTTGTTAGACTTATCGCGGTACCGTGTAAGAAATATTGTTAGAAGATATAACGTAACTGGTTCAGTTAATATTAAGCCACGATATGTGAAAAAAAGTAATATCACAAATGCCGACCGAAGAGCATTAAGAAGAATAATCGTGAAAAACAGGCGTGCCAATTATTTACAATTAAGTGTTCTGTGGAGTGACGCTGTTGGAAGGAGAATTTCGAGGTCCACAACTCATAGAGAGGCCCACAAACTGGGATTTAGCATTTGCAAGGTAAGTTTTCTTATAAAAAAAGTGAAATAAAAACCCTAAAGTTGCACAACTTGTTTATAGGCCAAAGAAAACCCACTATTAACTCCACTGCAAAAGAAAAATCGGCTTAGATGGGCTAAAGAACATAGACAATGGACACCTCAACAATGGTGTGCAATACAATGGAGTGGACAGGCCCGATTCGAAGTTTGTGTTGGTGACAGTCGCAGTAGAGTTATTCGCAAAAAAATGAAGCATTCCATGTTGACTGTCTGAAGAGAAAAGTGAAACTTCCAGTATCCATTATGGTCTGGGGCAGTATGTCATCAAAAGGAGTACAAAAGCTTCATTTTATTGATGGAAATGTGGATACAAATAAATATTTGGCAATTTTAGAAGAATCGCATTTACCAGTGATGGAAGAATGTTTGACATCCGGCCAAGATTTTGTGGTGCAGCGTGCCACACCTCAAAAAAGGCTATAAAATGGATGGAAGAAAATAATGTACCACTTTTGAAATGGGTTTCTAGCAGTCCAGATCTGTCACCTATTGAAACTTTGTGGCACGAGATGAAAAAGGTTCTACGACAACATCCTGCTCGTACAATCACCGAACTGAGACAAAGGCTTCAAGAAATATGGGATTGTTTTACACCAAATTTTTGAAAAACCGAATTTCAGCCGTAATAAAAAATAAAAGTGATGTTACCCAATGGTAATCTTTCAATTGTTGCTTTGTTAACTTCGCGCATTTATTCGCACATTGTTTATTTGTTCAGATCTTCTATTATTATATGTATTTTTTACGACTAGAGTGTATCTAAAATGTTTTTGAGAAAATAAGTTGTTTTAGAATTCTTCATGTTTAGTTTATAAAGGCATATTTTGGTAAGAAATCATGAAATGGGCCAACTGAAGTGGGAAGGGGCTCGTATACTTCCTACGCCTTCGTTGGAGTCAAAAAGGAGCAATCGCATCGTGTTTAGGTAGGTAGTAAGTCAAAGCAAATGAATATGTCAAAAAATGTTAACTCATCTATAATAGGCAACCCCCAAATTCCGTTTTTATATCTACAATAATACGCGGTGAGCCATCTTGGCGAATCATCCGGAATAGAACGCGGTTATTTTTATCTATAATTTATTACCGCGCTAAGACAATGTTGCGATTCGGTATTTTTGGAGGCCAGAAAATGTAGGAGGTACGTGCAACTTGGATGGCTCGTTTGTGTACACGCCATATAATACATATCTGAATTTCGAAATTTTTTGCGAATACTTCCCCGCCAGTTTCGGCATAGAAAGTAAAATATTAAAATACCCAATCGTATAGAATAAAACATTTCAAATCCAAAAATGTACAACACATCTTTTACACTGGCCATGCGATGTACGAAAGTATTCAAATAATATTTAACCGCTCGTTGTTCTGCCGATACAATATACCTTTTCTCGCAAGGACTACAAAAACTAGTCGAGAGTTTTTGTGCGAAAAGATCACGTTTTAACCGGATTGGTCAACAAGTCTGTATTATTCACCAATCGAGTTGTCGTTTGAAAATAGATGATAGGTATTCGCCTGTTAAACGTGAGGGCGGGTCGTAAATACTTTTATTATTTTGTGATCGAATGTATTCGTTGAAATTAATGATAACGATGCACGATATTGTAAGTTATAAAAATTCGGATTTAGGTGTTTTGTATAAAATATATTGTGCTGTGACTGAGTAGAGTAGTTATAGGTCCAAGTTCAAATATGTATTTTTTACGACTAGAGTGTATCTAAATTCTTTTTGAGAAAATAAATTGTTTTAGAAGTAAATAGTTACGTCATGTTTAGTTTATAAAGGCATATTTTGGTACAAATCTTGAAGTGGGCCAACTGAAGTGGGAAGGGGCTCATAGTTATGATAATGATTATTTGATTTTGTTGTTGTTTTCTAAATGTGTTGTTGATAAACGGTATTTCAATATGATCATGATAATCAGCACTCAATACCATATAATTTTTTTTACATTCATCCACTATAGTTCTTCCAACACAGACACAATCTCAGCATGTTTGGTTTCATTTAAAATGATGCTCATGATCGCGAAAAATAAAGTATCAATTTTTTGACAAGTCAGATGTATAACGCAATAAAATCTAATGTCATTCTTTGGGCGATTACCGCCTCTAAAAATTGATTGACGTTACCGTATGACATGCGTTCAGCCAATTGTATACATTGAAGTAGCAGTTCCATTCCATGATTTCCCCCAATGAAATCACCGATACAACACTTTGATAACGTATGACTATAAAAAACCGTATCACTTCATCATAGCTCGCACATCTCTGCAATAATAAAATTCAGCCTATTTTTGACTGCTTATCAGCGGCAAATCTGTCGGTGGTCTGCATTATCATTTTTTTATCGTTTGTTTCAATGGCTGGAATTTATTGTGATTCAATGTCAAACACAATGAAGCGGAATTCGTCCGGCTTACGTGTACAGAAATCTGACGCTACGAGATAACGTCGAGACCGACGATAAAATCGAATAGTGTTCGTTTTACGCTTCCTGCATTTTCGTACCTGAGCAGACACGGAGGAGAAGCTTTATTTTTAATTAAAAGGTCCATGCTTGGCAATTTACTCTTAGCAATTTACACAAAATAAGTTGACGACACTGGGCACAAAAGTAATAGAATATTTAAACTTTTTAACATTCCCGAACAGGGTGAATTTGCCAATAACCCGGACACTTCCAATAGGGGGGGGTGTCATTCTTGTTCACGACAATGCTCGGCCTCATGTTGCCACAGTACTGAAAGAAAATCTACAAGGACAGAAATGGAGGATATTAGAGCATCCGCCCTAAAATCCCGATTCATCGCCTTGCGATTTTCACATCTTTGCGCCACTGAAAAGGGCGTTAAGATGTGAGCATTTTCAGCCAGACGAAGGAGTACTTACAAAATGTCATAAAAGAATTCCTCAAGCGCATACAATGGGATATGTGCCTTGATTGTAGTGGGAATTATTTGTAGATATATTTACAAATAAATTTTTTCTGGGCCAAAGATGGGTTTCACTTGAAAATTTCGCATCCGCAATTGTCATTTTGACAACAGTGTTAGCGCGTTAACAACAGCAGGCATTCGATTTTTCAATGTGTGTCATTTGTGTAGAGAGTGACATAAACTTCAAAGGCAACTGACAACATATAAATGCCGTTTTTGTTATACAGGGTGGCGCATCGTAAAACGAAACAGACGCATTTACTGGCAGCTCAGTTTTTTTTGGAAAAACGCTCAGACCTGTCGATTTTGTTTTCGAGGGGGACACAAGTTTGGCAAAAAATCACGTTAGCACGTGCAGCCCCCTGGGCGGGGGTGACACCAACCCTAAAATCTTAAATGGAAAAGGGGGTCGAGTGATACCTTATTTTAAAGGTCTTTCAATTCCCTTTATAACGATGTAAAATACATGAGCTTCAGTTCAGTAGTTTTGAAGATTTATTGATTTAAAGCTTAAAGTAGACTTTAATATACTAAGTGACATATAAATCCGAACACCCAGTTTAAATGGTTTTATTTTAATAAAAGTTGGTGAATGCATTTATCTTACTGTAAATAACAAGTGAAAAAATTTTCAGCCTTATCAGTTGGACATTCCGGTTTTTATACTGCTTTTTTTTAATTCACTAACGCTCTAAAAATGAATATTTCAGCCGCAGTAAAGAATCAACGTTGGCGGATTTTGGTTCTTGACATCCTTTACGATCGGTTACGATGCCTAGAGTACGGAGACCTGTACGATTTCGTCAACTTAGTGAGCTTGATAGGGGCCGTATAGTGGGACTGCGGGAAGCTGGACTTTCTTTTCGGGCAATTGCAGTTAGAGTGCAAAGAAGTGTAGACTTACTGTGGTTAGGTGTTGTCAGGCATGGCTTCGAGAAGGCCGTACGCAAAGAGCAAGGGGCACTGGACGCCGCCGTAGAACAACAGACCGTGAAGATCGCCGCCTAAGATTATTGGCCTTAAGGGACCGTTTCTCCACTACCAGGTCCATTGCAAATGAATGGTTTGCAGAACACGGAAGACCCATTGGCATGCGAAGTGTTTACCGACGAATGAGAAGTTTTGGCTTGTTTTCATACCGGCCACACTGGGTCCTCCCTTTAACTCGAGAACACCGACGTAATCGCCTTGAGTGGTGCAGACAACAGTCACTCTGGGATCAGAAATGCAACAGTATTGTCATTAGTGACGAGTCTCGATTTTGTTTAGGCATGCACGATGGTCGTGCCAGGGTTAGAAGACGACGTGGTGAAAGAAGGAATCCACAGTTTTTTGTTGAAAGATATGTTCATCACACTGTTGGAGTTATGGTTTGGGGTGCTATAGCTTATGGTTCCAGGTCACCTTTAATCTTCATCAGAGGTAACATGAACGCGCAGCGTTATATCCACGAAGTTCTAGAACCCCATCTTTTACCCTATCTTGACACCGTGGCAGATCCAACTTTCCAACAACATAATGCCCGACCACATGTTGCAAGAGTCACAATAGACTTCTTTCAACATAATGATGTCACATTGTTACCATGGCCACCAAGATCTCCCGACTTATCCCCAATTGAGCACGTGTGGAATATGATGGGTAGGAGATTGCTCAATTTGCAACGTCCTCCTCAGACTCTAGAAGCACTTCGAGAGGAGTTGGTGGTTGCCTGGAATGAGATACCACAGGAGGACATTGACCACCTGATCAGAAGCATGCCTAGGCGCGTTGGAGAATGCGTAGCACATCAGGGTACATCCACACATTATTAAAGGTCAATGGGCTTTAAAGCAGTGCAATCATTTTGAAATTTTTATCATTTACTTATTACGCTTCATTAAGTACTTATACAAAATTTTATTAAAATAAAACCATTTAAACTGGGTGTTCGGATTTATATGTCACTTAGTATAGGTACATCAGATTAGTTTGTACTACCTTTAAAATAAGGTATCACTTCCTTTCCATTTAAGATTTTGGGGGTGTGTCCCCCTCGAAAACAAAATCGACGGGCCTGAGCGTTTTTCCAAAAAAACTGAGCTGCCAGTAAATGCGTTTGTTTCGTTTTCGATGCGCCACCCTGTATATGCAGAAGACATTCAAAATTTACGAAATAAATTAGTATCATCATGTTACAAAATCCAATAGCAGAACAAGTATCCGACTATAGGAATGGCGTGGTCTCTCTTTTTCTCTTTAAAAATAGAAACTATCAATCTTGTCTGTTTCGTTTGTTTCTATTGTCAATTTTGGATTTTGGATCAAACAAACGCATATCGTCGTTACAATTATACCACAACAAACAAAATTATAGCCAAATTACAAACTTAGCAGCACGAAATCAGTATATCGATTCACGAAATAGTATTTTCAATGCACTAAGTCTATACAAAAATCACAACTCAAAAATAATCATAAAAAACGTAGACAAAGGACACAAAAAAAATTAAAGATCGCCATCGAACATTCCACCGGATCCTTTATGCGTAATCTCGAATCCAAAATGCATTTTGTACCGGAAAGCGTAAAAGAACTTTAAAACTACAAATTATTCGACGGCTGCTTTTCCGCGAGCCAAAAAAAAACAGTCAAGACGCACACATTTGCAGCCAGAAGAGAATCAACACAGCGTATTGTCATGACCTTCTATGGTATTGAAATTTATTAAGGAGAATCTCGTAATGTTGTATATATATAGTGTTTTTAAAGTTATAGTCATTATTTTAACATCTTGTAAAACTCGTCAAAGGAAGTTGATATACCAAAAAAAACACCTATATGAAAGTTGCATTTTATTAAAAATTATTTTAAGAAATTATTATCAAGTACCGTTTTTATAAAACCTTCAAAATTGTCCCCATTTGTTCGATTAACGCAAAATCTTTACAAATTTCGAAAATAAAATCCCGGTGTCCACGAAATAAATCACAAGCTTTTTTAGTGCTTCCAGAGTATTTACTGCTCCATCATGATACACCAACTCTTTCGAATAGCCCCACAGAGAAAAACGCAAGGCGTTAAATCCGGGGAGCGAGCAGGCCAAGAAATGGGTCCGTTGCGCCCTTTCCATCTATGGTGGTATAAACGTGGTGGAGCCCCAACCACGTATTCTGTCTCACATTTAGAGGAACACCTTCTAATAATTGTGGCAGATCGTGTTGAAGAAAATCTAAATAAATTTCACCGGTCAGTATGTCAGTATGCCATTTACTACGCTAGCCCAAACATTTAATGAAAATCTATGTTGAAAATGAGTTCCTTTTACAGCATTTCGTGTAAATGTGGCCTCGTCTGTACAGAAAATTAATTTCTGACGAACTTTATAAATCAAGTTAGGTCGCATTCAATATGCAATACAAGAAAAACATCTCAATGCCATTATCTCAAAACTACCTACTTGGACCTAACCTAGTTTGGCTCCGAGGTATAGAAACGATTTTGTGAAAATTAAATTTTTTTCAAACGAGCGAGAAATACTCGTGACTAGGTCGTATTTGATATAAATGAATAAACGATCGATAGCTTAGATTACAGAATAAAAAGCCTGCCGCTGTATAGTTTTAAAAAACACTTAAGAGCTCTTCTGCTCAATGGTGATTCTTAAAGGTGTTTTTTTCCAGCATTATATTTTTAAGCTAATTTTTATTTAGGTTGTAATCAGTTACATGGGCATTTTCCTCCTTTTATTTTCTTTACAGCTATACCTTTTTACCATCTATTATTCTTATGCAGTTAATGGTTAAGTGTAAGAATAGCTGCCGTAGCTAAACTTCGCCATTAGCTGCTCACTAATCTAATTATAGATAATAATATATGCATTATCTGTAATTTGTTTTTTCTAATAAAAGACGGTTTATTATTATTATTATTATATTCACGTACCTGATTTGAACTCGCTGACATCGTCTCAGCGCTATTGCACCTGACCGTCGCGCCCTGTTGCTGATGCTGCGCGGAAGGAACATTGCTGGAATTGTAGCCGACGCCGACGGGACTCGACGGAGGCTCCGTTTTTACTTCAGTTTTCATATGGACTTGAGACGGAGATGCTTGCGGCTGAGGCTGAGCAGGCGGAGAAGGAGATGGCGGAGACAAATTCAGGCTGGACGGATTCACTATCGTCAACTGGTTGTTGTGATAGTATACCTACGGTGAAACATACGGATCAATCTCAAAAAAATATTTTAACAACCTCGTACATCGGCCAAAAGATTCGCCACTCTTCGGGAAACGTCGACGGTTAGGCAACCACAGTTGCGCCACCGAGCATCAAGAGTACAATAACTTGCAGCATCGTCGTGATAGATCGACCGACATCGAGAGTGTTCGAGAAGCATCAATCGACATCCGGAAAACTTCGATAAAGTGCAGGACTGCTCTGGAATTAACCGATTTCAAAATAAACATCAACTAAAAAATTCACCACTTTTTCAGGAAATATCGTCGCTTAGGCAACCAGAGTTGCGCCACCGAGCATCAAGAGTACTATAGCTTGCAGCAGCAGCATCATCGAAACGGATCGGCCGACATCGAACATGGATAGCGATCGGGAAGCATCGGTCCATATCCAGAAAAGTTCGATAAAACGCAGGATTGCTCTGGAATTCGCCAATTTCAAAATGAACATCAACCAAAAAATTCACCACTTTTTCAGGAAATATCGTCGCTTAGGCAACCAGAGTTGCGCCACCGATTATCAAGAGTACTATAGCTTGCAGCAGCAGCATCATCGAAACGGATCGGCCGGCATCGAACATCGACAGCGATCAGGAGGCATTGATCCATATCCAGAAAAGTTCGACGAAACGTCGGATTTAAACAGTTTTCGTTACAATATGTTCGTACCTTATCAGGCGGAAGCAGTTTTCCGGAAGCGAGTATTTTCTGTTGTTCAGCGAACAGCATCTTAAGCTGGTTCTGCATTTCGGTGTCTCCATGCGTCAATCTCGCCGACAACGTTTGAATCTGCAGCTGGATGCTTTTCAAATGTTGCTGCTTTTGAGGCGTCAACTGTATGGTGGTGATGCGTTGTTGAGGTGGTTGAGACGGCGCTATTTGATCTAGAAATGAACACCGGAAAATAACATAAGCATTGATTATACACTCATGGAAAAAATTGAGGGATCGAATAAAAACTGAGTTGTGTGGATCACGGTAAGAAATGGTTCTAAGAGAAGCTTCAAGTGTGCAGTTTTTGGATGAATAAATATTTGACACTGTAGATTCCACGCAATCCTAGGAAACGGTGTGATGAAGAAAAAAAATTCATTTTACATTTTTTTATTTACGTCAAGGCACTTGGAAAACCGTTTTCCGTTTTGAGCTTTTTATATATTGTCCCCACAACAAGCACACAAGTTTATAGGAAAGACCTTTTTTTTTTAATTAAAAATTTGAAGTCTCGAGATCAAGAAATGGTCGAATCAAGGTTTTGCAGAAAAAACATTGGAATTAATTGAAAAAATAAAAAAAATATAATTTTTTTTCGACACTTTTTTCTTGTAAACAACGAGACAGTTGGAGCTTCAGAATGACCATTTCTCATTGATTGATGCTCTAATTTTTTCCACAACTCATTTAAAAATTACGAGCGACATATTTACAGATCTATAAAGAGGTTTAAAAAAAGAACAAATCAACTAACTTTTCGAGGCAGGTTGTTGTGCATGCACTAAACCAACATTTCCAGCCACTCCAGACTCTTCCAGAATCTGTCCCAGCAATTTATCCACGTCAGCATTTGTATTGCTGCCGTTAGAATCGTGCGCCTGGTGACTCATCACCGTCGGCGACACTTTTTGCTGCTTCATGATCTGCGGCGATATCGACAACGTTTTAGCTCTTTCCGAAGTAACCTACGACAAAAAAAAAGCTTACAACGTCAAACTTCACCGATAATAAAATATTAATCAGGTGGTACTAGTAGCCGATATCCTCACATTGACAACTTTCAACAATCTCACCTTTGGTTGAATCTGAATTGACGGTTGCACCATCGCCTGCGGCTGCATCGGCTTCTGCTGATTCTGTTGCACCTGAAGCGGCTGGACGTGGTTGTGAGGCACCACGAGGTGCTGTTTCGAAGGTGTGTTCAAAGGACTGCTCACGATCGGCTTCACCATCTGCTGCTGTTGGGCCTCTTTCAGCTGTTCCACCGCACTGTTATTGCTCTGCGTCTTCAAAGGGTCGACCATCGTCACGTTGTCCTGCAGGAGGCTCTTTATGCTCTGGATCTTGTTCACCTAGCGGATGAGAATTTCGTCAAGTTTGTAAGCGTCCAGGGTCGAAAATTATGGAAATTGCACCGACAATATTATATTTATTTTGTGTTGTTTTATTAGTTTTTACTCTGACGAATACTGTAATGTTTCTCAGGATAATACAAAAAAATTGAAATTGAATCTGTAGGACTGCACAAGATGAATTTACGTCTTGACATAACCCTACAAGGTTCTCACCATCCCTCAAACATCCTTCACGCTTTCAAGAGACGTTTATATTTACATCCCTACCTTTTTGATCGGTTTCGTCTTCGGCGACAGCTTCTTATCGCAATTCTGCTGTTCCTTGTTAGGTCTTTGCATGAATATCGTCTGTCCGTTCACGGTCAGTTGTCCGTTCCTTTTGAGCTGTTCCAGCTGATCAGGCGTGAGATTGACTACGAACGACGTCGGCTGTTGCTGTTGGGGCCCTCCCGTCGCCCCCGGGGGGCTGCCGCCGCTGCTGTCGCCCCCCGGACTTTGGTGCGGCTGTTGGTGATGGTGATGGTTGCTGCTGTGATGCTGGATCGTCGGCTGGACGGTCTGCACCGGCGGTTGTTGCGATTTCTGGAACGGTTGCACCTGAAAAACGAATACAATGTTATAGACATCACAATAAATATCACCAAAATTTATTTGCTGCCTTTATCCCTCGGACCATAACTGGGATGAGCTACTCGAATACCTCGCCGGTGGAGGTTAGGTGGCTTTACGATCATGCCGACTGGGAGGAGCTTAGAGACTTCTTCTCTAGCTTTCCTTGGAGAGATACCTGTTTCACTGACGCGGATGCGTCGGCTGTCTGTTCTTCGATAACAGAAATTATCCACGTCGCAATGGAGGAATACATCCCTCACACAGTGAAAGTGCCTAAACCAGGCTCCAACGGCTGGTTTAACAAATCGTGTGACACTGCTCGCCAGCAGAAGATCAAGGCACACAGAATCTTCTTACACCCCACTGTAGAGAACAGACAAGCCGACGTCGAGTCCAGAAACAAATATAACGAAGCGGTTCGAAATGCCAAAAACCAGCACGATATTAAAGTTAGGCACAGGGACGCTGGACAAGCAGATTGAAAAGGACTTCTCACACAGTAGCCTTCCACCACTTACGTGTCAAGATGGAACGATTGTATTCGACTTAAAGGCCAAGGCCGAAGTGCTAGGCAAGATCTTTGCTGCCAACTCCACCATGGACGTCCCCCCCCCCCCCCGCCCCCTAACGCCCAGGTGCCGTCAATTCAAAGGGTTCCCCACACTATACGGGAGGTAACATTCAGGCATGAGACGGTAAGAAGAGTGCTCTTGTCGCTCGACATCAACAAAGCTTCTGGTCCGGACTTGATTCCTGCCATTGTACTGAAGAGATGTGCAGCGGAGCTTGCTCCAGTTCTTTCGCGTCTCTTCCAGATATCTTATGAATCCGGCACCTTCCCAGAAAACTGGAAATTTGCTCATGTGCAACCCATCCCAAAAAAAGGACCTAAGACCGACCCTTACAACTACAGGCCTATAGCTCTGCTTTCTGTTATAAGAAATGTGATGGAGAGGTGCATAAATCGCGAGCTTCCGGACATGTCGTCGCTCTTGACATCACGAAAGCGTTCGATCAGCTGTGGCACGATGCCCTCTTAAGCACACTTCCGTCGTATGGCCACCCAGAAAAGCTTTGCAGATGGGTGGCTGACTTTATCTCTGGCCGCAAGATCTCCGTCGTAATTGACGGGTTCTCCTCTTCATCCCACAACGTCAACCCGGGTGTTCCACAGGAACCGGTCTTAGTTCCGACACCGTTTCTCTTACATAACAACGACCTCCTTTCCTGCACGATCAACCCAATCCACAGCTTCGCTGATGACAGCACTCTACATGCAGGAATTCAGAGTGACAAGCCGATCTCTGCCGCTGAGCTGGAAAAAAGAAGACTAGCGATGATTTCCTCTATGACGAGAGAAGTGGAGGCTATCACCGCTTGGGAACGCATCAATCTTGTACAGTTCAATGCTTCCAAAACTCAGTACTGTACTTTGACGAACAAAAAGCGTCCTAGCGCTCATCCGGTTTCGATGGATGGCCGAGTTCTGCCAAAGAGTCATTCCTTTCGGCTGGTCGGAGTCTAGATCACCGAGGACCGGATCTGGCACGAACACACCCAGTCAATAGCCGCAGCTGCTGGGAAAAAGCTAGGCTATTTGTTTAGTACTTTTCTCCTTACGACCTTCTCATTCTATACAAGGCCCAGATAAGGCCTAGCCTCGAGTATTGCTCACACGTTTGGGGTGCTGCCGCCCCGACTACATTATCCATGCTCGATGCTGCCCAGAGGAGGGTGGCCGGACTGATCGATGACTCTTCTCTAACAGACAGTCTCGGGACTCTTTCGCACCGGCGGGCTGTTGGCGATCTAGCTCTTTTCTACCGTTACACCAACGGGCTTTGCTCCTCATGATGCCGCCGCGCGATGTGCCTGCCAGACAAACTCGCCTGACTTTGGCGTCCCATCCTAACCTTCGTACATCCAGAACTGGCCGATACGACCGCTCCTTTGTCCCGAGGGTGTCGAGATTGTGGAACAATCTACAAGAGGAAGCTTTTCCCAGTTCTTCTAACCTTAGTCAGTTCAAAAATCGTGTATTAACAAAATTTCTTTAGGATCATCATAGCAGCCGCGGTGTTCCTGCATTTAGGCATCAGCCTGCGCGGCTGCCTCGATATATATATATAAAAAAGTTACTTGTAAATATACAGACGCAAAAAAATACGAAAGTGAAAATGTGTCGATTTACCTTCAGCACCGGCTGCGTTTGTGTATGATGCGTCGTCGACGACGAAGTATTGAAACCCTGATGCACCGGTGTGTGCTGTTGTTGCTGCTGCTGTTGCTGCACGGATTGCAACGCCGCGGCCGCAGCTGCAGCCGCCGCGGCCGCAGCCGCGGCGTGGTTTTGCTGCTGCTGCTGTTGCTGTTGTTGCTGCTGATGGAGCAGCGTCTGCAGCTGGCCCTGGATCTGCGATTGCAGGCTGTGCACTTGCGCAGATTGTGATATCGTGTGGATCGGTTGCACTTGAGAGTGCAAGCTGTGAATCGGTTGCGGCTGTACGATTTGCATCGGTTGCTGCAAAGCGTTCACGGTTTGGTGTTGGATCGTCTGCTGCACGGTCTGGAATGAAGAAGAGACGTTGGGGCTATATAGAAAAATAGTCCTGGAAAATCTTCCAAAAATAAGCAACAATTTTCGCGCAGTTTTTCAAACATTCTGAACTGGTGGACAGTTGCTTTGCAGCATGGAAAATTTTACCGTTTTTTAGGGATAAATGTAACACTTTTTTAAAATTTGATAATTTGAGATAGAGCCGAGTTTCGAAAAATTTGTGAAATCACTTTTTTTAGGATAGTCCAAAGATCAAAAAGATGCATAGAAAAATTTCCATGATCAAAAATTGAGAATCTGACTTTGCTAAAAAAACATGACTTCCTTGAATCACCCTGTATAAGCGGATAAATACAAGAAATATACCGATTGATCCCTGTACGTGTTCTCGAATAGTTTGTCAAGAACCTCCCGAATACCGCAGCTCGATATCTTATTCCGTTCCGAAAATGTCTATGAAAAATGAAGAAAGACATTAAACGTAAACAGTGATCAGCACGTGAACAGATCCCTCGAAAGCATCCACGGATATACTCCAGTCACTTTAGGTCTAAACATCCTCGGGAGTGTATTTCTAGTGAATCCACAGACCCTTTTTCGTGTCATCTTGAGACTAGAAAAAGGATGACTGTTAAAATAAGTTACCTTGATCTTTCATCAGCTCCCAGTACAAAACATCATCGATATATTTTTGATGTAGGAACAACAAATTGGTTTAGAAAACATCCACTTTGAACCTAAATTGACTGGAGTAACATCGATCTACAGACAAATTCAAGGTCACTAGCAGTCCTCGGCGCTCTACGAATCTGCACAGGTTTGGACTTGTAAACGTGATTGTAGATGACACGACAGGCATCTAACAGTTAATTCACGCACAGGATTGCATTGCATACGCATTACGCATTCAGTAGCGTATACTCGTTTTTCGCGAGTGGAACTTTTTGTTTATATATTGCCTAAGATATGACACAGATACAGCCGACGAAGTGGTTGACATCAGCGCAACCCCACCCAAAAAAAGGGCTAAGAAGCTACATTTAAGTGCAAATGAAAAACAAATAATATTAAATATATACAAAAACCAAATTCAAGAAAAACCCGATTTGGTCGTGGACGAAGTTATATGTAAGGTAGCACATATTTCTGGAGTATGTCGGTCCAGTGTTTATAGGATCATTAAGGAATATAGGAGCACTCACTCACTTTCTGAGCCAAAACCGTATCCTGCAAGAAAAAGGATAACGGACGGAGTAGATGACTTTGACAGAACTGCCATCAGGAGGAAAGTGCATAATTTTTTCTTCCGAAATGAGATACCTACAATAGATAAGATATTAAGATTAGTTAGTGCTGATGAGGATCTTCCATCATTTAAAAGAACCACATTCCGAAAACTTTTGAAGGAACTTAATTTTCGATTCTTGAAACGGGGAAGAAACAGTATGTTAATAGAGAAAGAAGAAATTGTTGTGTGGAGAAGGGAATACCTTAGGAAGATTCGGAAGTTTCGCGATGAAAAAAGAAAAATTTACTATTTGGACGAAACGTGGGTGAATGCTGGACATACTCAAGCGAAAGTTTGGGTCGACAAATCAGTAACATCATCAAGGCAGGCTTTTCTAGACGGTCTTTCGGCTGGATTGAAAAATCCTGCAGGTAAGCTCCTTCATCTATCCGGCAATTTAATTTTGATAAATTCGGGCAAATAATATGCTGTGATAGCAGATAATGTGTGATATTCTCCAAAAATGGTGCATTCGCAGTGTAGTCATTAGGAAAAAAACTTCGACCCTCTTTTAAGCGATATTTTGAAATTTATTATCATTTTTGGGTGCAGTCAATTTGCTTTGAATGGGTTTTGAGAAGTTGCAAACTTCAATTTTCTACGTTTTTCAGTTTTTGATCAGCATTCCGTGACTCTTAAATTCAGCTAAATGAACTCAATTGCCTCATTCATTCAAATTTAATCAATCCATAGTGTAAGGAATAATTTATTTCCAGGAAAAGGCAAACGGCTGATCATTTGTCACGTAGGTAGTGAAGACGGCTTTGTTCCCGAAGCACTGTGGGCCTTTGAATCAAAAAAGACAGGGGACTATCATGAGGAGATGGACGGCAATTCCTTTGAAAATTGGTTCTCCAAAATGTTACTAAAGCTGGAGAATAACGCTGTTATTGTACTGGATAATGCCCCCTACCATTCTAGAAAAATAGAAAAAATTCCCACAATGGCAACTAAAAAAGCAAACATACAACAATGGCTGGCCTCAAAACAGATCGATTTTGATGAAACAATGGTCAAGGGTGAATTGATAAGTATAGTCAATAGACATAAATACAAATACGATTTTAAAATGATCGACGAAATGGCCAAAAAACAAAATAAAACTGTCTTGAGACTGCCACCCTACCATTGTGAGCTGAACCCTATTGAGCTGATTTGGGCCAACATAAAGCAATACGTGGCGTCGAATAATAATACTTATAAATTTTCTGATGTTAAAAATCTCTTTCACATCGCAGTCAATAGAGTTACGGCAGAGGAATGGAAAAACTGTATCCGCCACGTTCGGGAGAAGGTTGAGGTCAAAATGTGGGATTTGGACAATGTCATCGATACCCAAATTGAACCTCTAATAATTCATTTAAACGATTCAGAAGATTCAAGTTCCTCTTCTGAATGAGTGCGCGCAACTTACTTACTAATAACTAAAAAGTGTAGTTAACTCATTTGTGAAGCTCTAACTGAAATTTACTGTAAAAGATAATAATTATCTTGTATGAAATTTTTGATGACTACCCATAATATCTTGATGCGGTCCTGTAATGTCTCCTGCGCCTAAACACTCAATCACGAGCAATATGCGTGTATTTGTTTGGGTTTAGTTTCTTTCTTCAGCGCCTAGAGAGTAGATTTAAATTTGGAAACTTCTTTATCATATAAGCTAAAGACGGGATAGTGAATGAATGACAGCGATATATATAAAAATAGTTTACCTGTTGCTGAATTTGCGGCTGCACAGTTTGCTGTTGCACCGTCTGTATCGTCTGGCTTTGCACCGTTTGTTGCTGTATCGTCTGCACAGACTGTTGCTGGATGGTTTGTACCTATAATAAATACATTCCAATGCAAAGCTGGAAATCAAAGGTCTTTTACTGCAAGATATGACCGAATTGTTCGTTGATGTCGATAGCTGCTAAGCAAACCTGTTAGATCATGTTGAAATTTGCGTGAAAGAAGCTACAGTCAACATTTATAAAATGGACAATCCAACACATTTGTTCAAGAATTCTAAATTAAAAACAGACTGCAGTTATGAAAAGTTTATTATTACAGCGAGTGAAAATGATTGGCTAGAATACACACGATCGTCGCCACTTCAAAGTCTACTTATAATTTAAAGATGCTTAAAAATTAAAGAAATATTTCAAGGACAAGAAATATATGTTATATATAGGAGTTTTTTAAAAGAATGTAATTGTAGTAATTATACTAAATGGATCTTAAACAAACAAATTGATAAAAACCGAAACAAAAGACGATTTAATCGAAAAAAACATGTTTTTTGATTTTTTCAAAAAAATCGCAATTGTGATTTGTCATCCCTTACCGTTTGCTGGACTGCAGTCTGCTGGTCGATCGACGGCTGCAACACGATGCCCCCGTTCAATCCCAACAAACTCTGCAAGATCAACTGACTCTGCAGATCCTGATTGATATGCGGATCGTGTTGCAATATGAGACGTCCGTCTTCGCCTACGGTCAGTTTGAAACCGCCGCTGGTGCGTTGTTGGAGCATGAGGCCGGCCCCGTTGTGACCGATCGTGAAATTAGGCGCGATGAACGAATTGAAAGGAAGGCCGGGAGTGCCCTGGGAAGTGCTGTTCGAAATCACGCCGCTCTGGAAGTTCTGGTTGAGCACCTGCAATGGAAATGTATAGGGCGTTTCAAAAAACTTCGATCGGACAGATGGCAAAGCGGATTTCTCGTTTCACATTCATTTTAGAACTTATTGGGTTAGGTTTGGCCACGCTATATGAATAAATATGCGAAAATCGCAGTTGAGGTTAAGGCCCCAGGATGGAACATCCCGTCCTGCTTCATATATACGCAATTTTTCTCTTGAAGGTAGTATAGTGCATATTTATATATAAAACATGTAAAATTGTTTGCAAGGAGTCAACGCCCAATGTACAAGGCCTATTGCGAAGTAAACAGGACAAAGAAAAAAATGATACAAACATTTTTTGTTTCGGAGAATCGAATTATCTTAAATTTCTCACACGAAACTGCTTTTTTGATAATCATCTACCTGAATCAAAGAAAAAAGCTTATAGCTGACAGTGGAAACATTGTAAACCATAATTTATAGATTTTTATACGATAATAACGCAATTGGGAAGCTGCTACCATCTAGATGCAAGGTCAATACTTGCAGTCTCAACATTGGATTTGTCTGATCTTATATGGAAAATTTCCCCTCTGATGTACTTACTCAATTAAGAAGCGCTACCTTCCAAGCAATTGCAGTTTCTAAGCTTTATCGCTGGAACCGTTATTCTTCGGATCTCACAAGAAAATGTCTTCCTCCAAAATTTGCTCAAATGAAAAAACTTCAGTAACCCCACAGGTATAGTGTCATGAGTTGCAGTTTCAAAGCTATCTACATCCACAGTATTTCTGAGGCAAGATCCTCAAATGATCCTGAGTGGACCGCATTTCACAGACGCTCGCGAAATGTATCCTAATCCGCTGAATATCATGATTCCCGAACGACTCAACCTACTTGACGTCATTTTGGTATTGCATCTTGGGGTGTCTCACTCTCCTACATGGATCGCATTTCTCAAACGCTCACGAAATGTATCTTATCGGGTAACTATTAAAGCTACTGAAACGGTCAACAACTATCTCTTCATCTATTGCCGGCATCACAGCTACGTATCAAACAAAGGGAACTTTGAGAAAAACCAGTTGACATAGGCAACCCTGTACGGTCCTCACTCTGTATGCGCTAAGAGAAAATATACACTGAAAGGTCCTCACTTTGTTTGTTGTAAGTGTTTCAATATACGGTCCTCACTTTGTCCTATATACAAGTCATAAATGTAAAATAGTTTTTTCCGCGTATACTCGCCACCGTTAGATATAACAATGGCATGCTACCAGATCATGCCTTAAACCGCATTTGGAGTTGCATTCCTTCTTGTGGTCCTCACTTTGAATGGTATACGGACGGTCCTCCTCACATTGTATGCCAGCCAAATATATATATATACAGGGTGGCCAAACACGTGACGTCATAAAAAAAAAATTAGATTCCCCACATCGAGAGGAACCCAAATCACCCCCATATATATGGTCCGATTTTGTTTAGTTTAGGAGTTATGATTTTTTTTCGGATTTTTCGAGAATTTTTGAGTTCTGTGTTTATTTTTACCATAACTTCGTTAATAATTGTGATAAATGCCTGCTTTTTACACGATTATGTAGCTAAGACCTAAGGCTTAACTATCATATAATCATTCAAGTCATGTAACTAATACTACTTTTTAATTTTTTTCAAAATCTTCGAACATAACAAAAAAGTAAAAAAGTGCAACAACTTTGAACGTTTATAAAAAATTGAAAAAACATGTTCTTACTATTCGTAAGTATCTTAAAAACTTCCTTATGGTATCAGCTATTTACCGTAAAAATTTCATCAACCTAGCTTTACTACATGCTACCGTAATTGTGGCTCAAATAGAACCGAACCCAAAATTGGATAACCCTCTGCTCAATAGAAATTGTTAGTTTCGGAAAAAAAATTTGAAAAAACCACAAAAACACGTTTGATTTTTACTGAACAGCAGATTATTATTCATTTATGTTATTTACAAGAGGTTTTCAAAATGTCTGCCTCTAACAGAAATGCACAGTGTACACCTACGTATGAAATTTTGTTTTAAATCTCTAAATGCTTGTGTGTTGTTTTTCAACACATGTGTCGCTTCTTGAATTTTGTTCCTCAATGAATTTTCATTTGCACATTCTTGGGCGAATGTTATGTCTTTAAAATATCCCCAAACAAAAAAATCAATGGGGTTGAGGTCAGGGGAGCGTGGAGGCCATCGTATCGGTCCGTTTCGTCCGATCCATCTGTCTGGGAACCTTTCGTTTAAGTAGTTTCGCACGATCGTTGCGTTGTGGCATGGTGCACCATCATTCTGGAACACCATGTTCCGTCTGGCTTCCAGGCTTGAATCTTCCAGCAATAATGGTAGGCTATTTTCAAGGAAGCTTTTGTAGGCTACCGAATCCAACCTTGACGGCAGTTCAAATGGACCGATAAATTCCATATTGAATATTCCTGACCACATGTTCACACTAAAACGGTGTTGAAATGTCGACGGCCTTGAGTGGTGGGGGTTTTCAACAGCCCAAGTATGTAAATTATGGATATTGAATATCCCTGTTCTTTCAAAACGTGACTCGTCAGTCCATAAAATTTTATCAAAAAAATCGGGATCCTCTCGTTGTCTTCGCAGCATTGTCTCGCAGAAATCCACTCTTAACTGGTAATCTGAAGGCATCAACGCTTGAACTCTTTGAACATGATAGGCATGATAACCTTCTTCATGAAGAATATTTTGTATCGATGTTCGTGGTATTCTAAGGTTTTGTGCCATAGATCTCGTACTCGTTGAGGGATTCCGGCTAATTTCTTCAAGTACTACTTCTCTGCGATCCGGATCAGCTGTAGGATATCCTTCATTGCTTCCTCGTCCTGGAATGCGGCCTGCCATGAAAGTGTTATGTGTGTTAATAAAAACACGGTGGTCTGGGTAATGCTCAGCTGTACCGGGAACAACTTATACGCCGAGGCGGACCACAACCTGAGCATTACCCAGACCACCGTGTTTTTATTAACACACATAACACTTTCATGGCAGGCCGCATTCCAGGACGAGGAAGCAATGAAGGATATCCTACAGCTGATCCGGATCGCAGAGAAGTAGTACTTGAAGAAATTAGCCGGAATCCCTCAACGAGTACGAGATCTATGGCACAAAACCTTAGAATACCACGAACATCGATACAAAATATTCTTCATGAAGAAGGTTATCATGCCTATCATGTTCAAAGAGTTCAAGCGTTGATGCCTTCAGATTACCAGTTAAGAGTGGATTTCTGCGAGACAATGCTGCGAAGACAACGAGAGGATCCCGATTTTTTTGATAAAATTTTATGGACTGACGAGTCACGTTTTGAAAGAACAGGGATATTCAATATCCATAATTTACATACTTGGGCTGTTGAAAGCCCCCACCACTCAAGGCCGTCGACATTTCAACACCGTTTTAGTGTGAACATGTGGTCAGGAATATTCAATATGGAATTTATCGGTCCATTTGAACTGCCGTCAAGGTTGGATTCGGTAGCCTACAAAAGCTTCCTTGAAAATAGCCTACCATTATTGCTGGAAGATTCAAGCCTGGAAGCCAGACGGAACATGGTGTTCCAGAATGATGGTGCACCATGCCACAACGCAACGATCGTGCGAAACTACTTAAACGAAAGGTTCCCAGACAGATGGATCGGACGAAACGGACCGATACGATGGCCTCCACGCTCCCCTGACCTCAACCCCATTGATTTTTTTGTTTGGGGATATTTTAAAGACATAACATTCGCCCAAGAATGTGCAAATGAAAATTCATTGAGGAACAAAATTCAAGAAGCGACACATGTGTTGAAAAACAACACACAAGCATTTAGAGATTTAAAACAAAATTTCATACGTAGGTGTACACTGTGCATTTCTGTTAGAGGCAGACATTTTGAAAACCTCCTGTAAATAACATAAATGAATAATAATCTGCTGTTCAGTAAAAATCAAACGCGTTTTTGTGGTTTTTGCAAATTTTTTTTCCGAAACTAACAATTTCTATTGAGCAGAGGGTTATCCAATTTTGGGTTCGGTTCTATTTGAGCCACAATTACGGTAGCATGTAGTAAAGCTAGGTTGATGAAATTTTTACGGTAAATAGCTGATACCGTAAGGAAGTTTTTAAGATACTTACGAATAGTAAGAACATGTTTTTTCAATTTTTTATAAACGTTCAAAGTTGTTGCACTTTTTTACTTTTTTGTTATGTTCGAAGATTTTGAAAAAAATTAAAAAGTAGTATTAGTTACATGACTTGAATGATTATATGATAGTTAAGCCTTAGGTCTTAGCTACATAATCGTGAAAAAAGCAGGCATTTATCACAATTATTAACGAAGTTATGGTAAAAATAAACACAGAACTCAAAAATTCTCGAAAAATCCGAAAAAAAATCATAACTCCTAAACTAAACAAAATCGGACCATATATATGGGGGTGATTTGGGTTCCTCTCGATGTGGGGAATCTAATTTTTTTTTTATGACGTCACGTGTTTGGCCACCCTGTATATATATAATATATATATATATATATATATATATTTGGCTGGCATAAAATTTAAAATCATTTTGCACAATAGTTGCTACTTCTTCTTAATGTTATTGAAGCTCCTGATGATGATGCCAACGTCCATTGAAAGCTAGAGATTAATAAAGTATAAAGAGTCCTCATTGTTTGAATGTTGTCGAAGTATATATATATATATACGCAATTCTTCTCATTGAAGGTAATGTTCCAGTGCATTTTTATATAAGTATATGAAAACATATAAAAGCGTCTTCTAACCTGGACAACAGGCGTCGCAGTGGCGTTGATCGTCGGCTGAGCAGATGCGGCGGCCGCAGCGGCTGCCATCGCGGCCGATATCTGAATATTGTGTATGTTCTTTTTGGCGTCCGCTTGCGCCTGCGCTTGCGCCTGAGCCGCGGCGGCAGCGGCTGCTACGAAGTGCGACTGCGCTTGAACGGTCGCGCCGCCGCTCGTTTGTACTTGGTGTTGGGTCTGTTGAGGTTGCGGTGTTGTCGGCACCGAGGTCGGTTCGCTCTCGCTCTGTGAAGTGTCGCTCTCGAATTGGAGGTCGTCTTCGTCGCCGCCTGGACACGAATCGTGAATCTCTGCGAAACAAAAAAACCAGCTGCAATGTTTCCGTTGTTTTAATCGAACGTATAACTCACCAATCCCGGACAATTTCATGATATTCGCGAGATCCAGCTTTTTCTTTACTTTGTGTTTAGGCTTCTTTTTGATTTGCTGTTGCTGGTGATGTTGTTGCTGATGATGTATCATCTGTTGCTGTTGATGTTGAGAATTGTTCACTATTGTTTGCTGTTGAGCAATGTGCGTTGCGCTCAAAGGTTGATTACCCACCTAATACATCGAAAAAACGATACTGAAATAATTACCACTTCATTTCGGCGTACTCAACGAATTCGAATGGATTGGGAGCAAAGCCTATATGTTTACATTGAGTTATTTAGTTTTTCATTCGTCAGGAGGTGTAAGCAATATAAAAGGACTTATACCCTGCTTTGAGTGACTTCTGATGATTTCGCCGAAGTTGATACTTATCAACCTAGATGGCGCAGCTTAACAGACGCACTGTCAGCGACGAGTAATTATTTTGTGTTGCATTTTGAAATCTTGCAAACTGTGTAAATTACTTACATGCTTATTATACACTCAGTGGCATCAGAAGTGTTACACCCAGAAAGAGTTCAGCATAACAAAATCCCTAGAGTTCAAAGACGTCCAAATTATCACCATGATAGTGACTTTGACAGGGACATAATTATTGCCTATGACGGTAATGCGTGTGTGTCGTGTGTGGATAGAAGAAGGTAGAGAAACGCGAAGAATGCCAACTGGTCCACAAAGTGTCAAGATAGGCGCATTCATAGTCCGAATTCGTTGATTGCACTTACAAAACATTTAATTTCTGTGTACTTTTCTGTAATCTGCTGATTTTTTTTGGACCGGAAAATGAGTTGGTTCTTGAAAATACCGATTCACGAACTAGCCAAAATATTAAGATACACAAATATACTTACACTTAATTGCGATGCTGTGACATATGTGGTACTACTTACTTGTGTAGTGACATATGTAGTGCTGGTGGGCGCCAGTTGTACCCCGTTCGTAAGCACCCTGACCATAGGTTGAGATCTAGGAGGTTGAATCTGCAGCAATTGCTGCCCGCTCGGCTGCAGAATCAGACCTTGGGGTGTTGCCGTTGCAGTCTGGACCTATATAAAAATACACGATGCAGCATACGCGGTGTACATACTGGGTGATTCATTCAACATTTTCAAGATGCATCTTTCTTACCTGAGGTTGCAGTTTGGTTGACGTTTGAGGCCTCAAGATGAACTGAACGCCCGGCGCCGTCAACATAGGCATCTGGTTGAGGAGGAGTGGTTGACCTGTCGGCATTATTGAGGCAGTTTGCTGATGGTTCGCCGGTATCACTATCTGAGGACTGCAACGGAAAATATTCATCGTTTATGACATAAATATTAATTGCGGCTGCTTTATTACCTAAAAAACCTGCAAAATGTCAACTTGCTGAATAGATAGCTCCTAGTGTGTAAATAGTTTTCTCATTAAGAGCGCCGTGAACGTCACCAAAGCGTCATCTATGGAGGAATGACTCAACAACACGACATACCACCATGCTTTGTTGGTTGCAGAATGCCGAGATGTAGAGTACGTCACTGAGAAGATGTTGCCAAAAATTCGTTTTGAGTACTGATTTACAAGTTGTCAAAGTTGACTGTTTTTTTCGGACAAAATATCCCGTTGCTTCAGAAGTAGCGATAAAACAACATACTAAAGTATCGTGTATATTTGCATTGTTTTGTAGTTATGAATCACCCTGTAGGTAGATACATATTTTATAAGGAGCATATAGCTTATATCTTTTTTAAAAAAATGCTCATATATTTTAAAATAACGGAGCTATCACCTAATTACGCACTAATGACTCACACTATATCCTGAATTTTTTTCTTGAAACAGAGATACTCTGACAGTTCAAACATGTCAAATCCCTGTTGCGTTTTCATTGTTACTCTCTGGATCACTCAAAAAAACGTTAGTTGCAGACAATGGAAGTATGTCAAAATTTTAAAATTCGGAAAACAAACTGGCTCTGCAAAAGAGCGTTTTTAGAATCTGTAGTTATAATACATAAAAACATCATTTAGGTATTTTAGCTATACCACAAAAAACCGTTGTATATCTTTAGCTGTACCATTCAGTCTAAATTGTTTCTAAATAACAAATGTTGATTTTCCACGTTAATGTTTTCATTGTTAAATTTCTTAAAAATCATCGATTTTTACGTTATATACATTTTATACGATTTTTGTAAACAGTGCCATCTGTGCGATAGATGAAAAGACTCGCAGTTTAAGATGTTCTATTTGATATTTTGGAAAAAAGGTATGTTTTTGGATCATCCTGTAGAAACAAATGAAAATTTTATTTTTAATGTAAATAAATTGACGCAGAAGTTGCACGCAAGCGCATTTCAATTTCTCCCAAAGAAGTTGTGCGCTTTTTTACATTGGTCACCTTATGAATACTCAAAATACATAGTGATGTAATTTTAATAGAGAAAAATGTAAGATTACAGGAAATTAATTCAAAAAATGCGTAAACGAATAATTAAGCAAAATTGACATTGTAGCAATCATGGTACATAAATCTTAACAAACCTTACTTCATTCTGTGCCATTTTGTGACAATTCCTAGTAAACAGCATCTATCTTTTTATTCTTGGACGATTTATCCGATAAGATAAAAAATGGATTTTGAAGAACAGTTTCTCGTTTTGAAATTTAGAAGACAATGGACAGTTGAATCATGGCCAACCGTTCCGTTCTCGTTTGTTGTACATGTATGTAATTGAAGATACATCTCGGTCCCTAGTGATGTTCTCCTCCTTGCCGTTTCTACGAAACTCCTGGAATTGAAATGATTATTTACAAAATCCTGTTTACCTGACGCTCGGCTTCGGCGACTGCTGCTGTTGACTCGCCTGCGCCGGCTTCGGCAGTATATTCAGATGCGGCTTCAACTTGATCACATTCTGGTGGGGCTGATGATGCTGTTGCCCGCCCCCGGCGCCGCCCCGAGCAGCGGCCGCCGCCGCGGCCAACAGGTTGTTGTGGATGATCTGCATGACGGGAAGGGCGGAGTTAGGCGGGCCTGGGGCGGACACCGCCGGCGGAGCAGCGACCACCGGTTGAGGAGTGGGCGGTTTCAACGACGGCGACGGCGATTTCAGGCTGGCCGGAGAGGAGTAGGGGGAGCCAACGATGCTATACCCGCCGCCTGGGCTCGGGTTCGAATACGCTGGAGACTGAAATGGACAATTATTGAGGATGAGCTACTTGAAAGGGGCGGGTTTAAACTAATATGGGTAGTGTTGCTGGTGCACAATATGACAACCATTTCGCACCCTCAAAAAATGGCGGCTTATTCACAACTGATGTTGTCTGATTGGCCAGATTTAAATTTCTGGCGGGTTTCTTCCTATATCCTTACTTTTTTCAACATGCTATTTGACTAACATTTTATTTTAATCCCATAAAGTACCTATTATGTTATTAGACCCATATGAATTTTGTTTAGAATTGTGAAGACTCAAAAACTGTCATAGCAGTATTTTTTGATTTGGAGAGTGCATTTAAAACAATTGATACAGATATATGTATGTATATCAGGAAGTGTTTTTAAAAATTATTTGTCTAAAAGGATGCAAGTTACAAAAATTAATAACACTTTTTCATCAAAAGTTGAAAATTCTTCAGGTGTTCCACAGGGCAGCTTCCTGGGACCACTTCTTTTGTATGTAAATGAAAACTTGAAACTTGTTTCAAAATCAAACTCAAATTAAATACAAGTAAAATGAAAGCCATGTTAATTGAAAAAAAAATGGACGAAATATTGAAAGTGGAGGTATCAAATTCATAGGAAAGTTCAAATACCTTAGGCTTGACTCTCAACTAAATTTTGGTATTCATTATGAGAAAATTACAAACACGATTGGTAGTAAAGTAGAATATTTATCAAGTTCTGGGTGTTTGAACTCATACAGATTTTATCATTATTCCAAATTTATTGTACTTCCTCTAGTAGAATAACTATTGTACTCATTGTTCAATTCAATAACATTTTCTAAATGATTTGGTATAGGTATGATTTTTTAACTTGAGTATGAGAATAAAATTAAGCATAAAGTTTTTTCTAGTATATACTTGTTTTTATTTAAGACTGTTCTCATAGCTTTATTTTGCAATATTTGTAATTTTGAAAATACAGTTTCAATTGCAGTGAACAAAATAGTCCAGCTATAGAAATTTACTCTTACCGAACTCCATTTGATAATAAATCAGTAGCCTGTATTTATACTAAGTGACATATAAATCCGAACACCCAGTTTAAATGGCTTTATTTTAATAACAGTTGGTGAATGTATTTATCTTACTGTAAATAACAAGTGAAAACATTTTCAGCCTTATCAGTTGGGCATTCCGGTTTTTATACTGCTTTTTTTCAATTCACTAACGCTCTAAAAATGAATATTTCAGCCGCAGTAAAGAATCAACGTTGGCGGATTTTGGTTCTTGACATCCTTTACGATCGGTTACGATGCCTAGAGTACGGAGACCTGTACGATTTCGTCAACTTAGTGAGTTTGATAGGGGCCGTATAGTGGGACTTCGGGAAGCTGGACTTTCTTTTCGGGCAATTGCAGTTAGAGTGGAAAGAAGTGTAGACACTGTGGTTAGGTGTTGTCAGACATGGCTTCGACAAGGCCGTACGCAAAGAGCAAGGGGCACTGGACGCCGCCGTAGAACAATAGACCGTGAATATCGCCGCCTAAGATTATTGGCCTTAAGGGACCGTTTCGCCACTACCAGGTTCATTGCAAATGAATGGTTTGCAGAACACGGAAGACCTATTGGCATGCGAAGTGTTTACCGACGAATGAGAGGTTTTGGCATGTTTTCATACCGGCCACACTGGGTCCTCCCTTTAACTCGAGAACACCGACGTAATCGCCTTGAGTGGTGCAGACAACGGTCACTCTGGGATCAGGAATGGAACAGTATTGTCTTTAGTGACGAGTCTCGATTTTGTTTAGGCATGAACGATGGTCGTGCCAGGGTTAGAAGGCGACGTGGTGAAAGGAGGAATCCACAGTTTTTTGTTGAAGGACATGTTCATCACACTGTTGGAGTTATGGTTTGGGGTGCTATAGCTTATGGTTCCAGGTCACCTTTAATCTTAATCAGAGGTAACATGAACGCGCAGCGTTATATCCACGAAGTTCTAGAACCCCATCTTTTACCCTATCTTGACACCCTGGCAGATCCAACTTTCCAACAAGATAATGCCCGACCACATGTTGCAAGAGTCACAATAGACTTCTTTCAACATAATGATGTCACATTGTTACCATGGCCACCAAGATCTCCCGACTTATCCCCAATTGAGCACGTGTGGGATATGATGGGTAGCAGATTGCTCAATTTGCAACATCCTCCTCAGACTCTAGAAGCACTTCGAGAGGAGTTGGTGGTTGCCTGGAATGAGATACCACAGGAGGACATTGGCCACCTGATCAGAAGCATGCCTAGGCACGTTGGAGAATGCGTAGCACATCAGGGTGCATCCACACAATATTAAAGGTCAAAGGGCTTTAAAGCAGTGCAATCATTTTGAAATTTTTATCATTTACTTATTATGCTTCATCAAGTACTTATACAAAATTTTATTAAAATAAAACCATTTAAACTGGGTGTTCGGATTTATATGTCACTTAGTATAAAACTATGTAGAAATATCAGCATTAAAAACACAGAAAAAGTTTCAGGTGTTGTATATTCAATCACATTTTAGTCAAAAGAAACGACTTTTCATTTCTCCGAATTCATGACGCAAGGCCTTTGAAAAATTATTTCAGCTTTTCCATTTATCGTATTGGCAATACGTAATAATAGTTCATTTACCCATGGTTTTCTTTATGTTGGCTAAGATGATAGCAAGTCGTCATTGTTTATTGTTCTGTGCCAATCCGTTCTGTCGTTTTCACGTCAAATGTCAACGTTACGTCATTATTGACGGTTTTGCGAGGGAAAGCGGCGTCATTTTTTACCTTTAGATAATAAATATTGCAAAAAAAATTGTTGATATTACTACGATTGTCTTTAAGTATATAGTTTGTCTCGCAACTGTCGGATATAAAAATTATATGAGATGTTATAAATGAAATTCCAAGGAGCTGTCAAGAAGCTTGACTCGTGTAAAGTTGGTGAAAAGTGGAGGTAGATCCTGTGATGGTAAAGAGTAAAAAAAAGGTTGAGGAAACATTGACAGTTGATTTGAATGAAACTGTTTGGAAGATTTAATTATTGACTACAATAATACACCTCTAGGTGACCTAAAGGTAAAAATTAAGCAGTCTTCTGTAGCGTGATGGTTCGATTCGTTAATGTTACAATTCTTGTTATATTTATCCATTAATCTGGCATCAACAATTTTGGAAAATTAAGGTCAGTCAAGAAAAGTGATCAGTGATTGAAACAGTAGAATATTTCCCTCGTGTTTTTGAATGCCTTTGCATGTTAACCTTTTGGAACTCCCTAATTATATGTAAAAAATATTCATTCCTCTTTTCCATCAGGCTTACTTTTGGCAAGAGCATACAATTCTTCTCAAAACATGACTTCTCCCAGGTCAACAATTTTTTCATAATTTTATGGGCACCTACAATTTTAACTTTGACTTTAATAAAGATCTGTCAGTTTTGTGCCTTAGATACTTCAATTTTACTGTTATATTATTCATTATAATACCCTGCTCCACCCCCTCTATGGAGATTTAGATGGCGATAAAAGAAATTTATAAGGCTGACTGTTTTTTTTTACATACAGGTAGAAGATACTTATCATAATGTAATTTATAATTGGTTTGGTGAACCTTCTCATTACAGTTTGGCATTGGTGTTAACAGTACCAAACTTTACTGTCATAAGCCTCTCTAAAACAGTTAACTAATAATACATATTGAAGGCAACCAAAATGGTACCTTGGGAACTTCTGCTGATTCACCAGACTGCTTGTGATATTTTCCTTAAACATACGTTTATCATAATTGTTTCATTTTGTATATATAGAGTTATGAGGACTTACTGGTGTCATATTGGCGACAATTTGAGGCTTCTTGACGAGATTCAGATTATTGGAGCCGACCACTGTGCAGTTTGTGCTGAGATTTTCATAGTCGATTTTCTCCTGTTTGATCTGTGGCTGATAGGATGTATTCTTCGGAGATTTACACATTTTTTGCAGAGGCTTGTGGGGAGTTTGAGACATTTTTTCACAACACTAACCAACGATATACGTATATCGAAAGTTTATAGCACGCTTGAAAGTAAGTAGATCTCCTTATTCGTGGAATGTAATGCTAACCACCACACAGTCTTTAGTCTTTTTACGTACATCTTGTAACTTATCCGAACTCGAATAAAGCCATTTTCTCGTTGTATACATCGAAATAATACAAATCTAAGAACAGCATTATTTCACAGATACAACTGGATGCATTGTCAATTGATGCATTTCGCGGCCGAAACTTGCAATTTCAAATCTTAGATGGCCGAGAGAAGGACGTTTTCTTTCATTCGAACCTGAAACAAACGAAAATCACTCAGTATCAGACATAACCTCGCATTATTCGTCGTAAAAGTTGCTTTCGGGCGCCAACCTCAACAGAAAAAGCACTCACTTCGCTAGAGACCGACGCAGTCTGTCTGTCCGTATGTCATTTCACGGCGAAACCACGTTCGGCGGTTTGTTTATAAACAATTTCGCAAATTTGCAAACACAAATAATAGATATCATTGTGCCGCCATCTTTTACGGTGAACGATGCGCCTTTTTCTTTGCTTCCCCCACCCCAGGTCGATGGGATAATGGAATGGTCCACCTTGCTCTGTCCTGTCTGATCTTATTAATTAGAAAATAATCTTTGATTGATAGATGATCGATTTGAGGCCGCATTCATATCCTTGGGTAACTTGTGCGACCGTTATCGGATCGTAGAATAACGGAGGGTGGGCGCTGATACGCTAAATTATGAATTATTATTCAAAAAACAATAGATCAATCAAAAAAGGTATGATGGGTGGGGGGCAGCTGGCAGCAAGGTAGAGCAGAGAGGGGGAAGGAAATACAACGCCAAAATCCCAAAAGATACCGAAAACAACAATAAACATTGCTTCGATTGACATCCGGACAAATAACTGTTGGATTATTAATAGTAGACGACATATGATTGACGCTTCATAAATATTCCCCGAGGAAAATCAATATAGAAGTAAGGTTACAAAGAATCCCAAGGTAAAAATCCATGCATACGGTCATGTGAGCACGCAATGCCTCCAAAACGGCCAATCCCGTTGAAAAATTGCGATTTTTCCACGCATTTTCCAACTGGGAACGACCTCCAAGGCCAACCCACACCGATTTCAACATAAAATGAATAAAATTCTACGTACCTTTTAACAATTTTCACTTCATGGGTAAAAACGGGGTCCACTCTGGCGAAAGCAGGGCGTCCGACGTTCTGATTGGTCGCCCGTGAGCGTCATTTGATACACAAAAAAATAACATTTACTTTGAGGTTAGACACAGCGACGGGCGATTCGCGCCTCTATGCGCTCTTAACGTTAAGTCCCCACTTAACTCTGTATCACACAATGCACTAATCGTTCTGTTTGTACCAAAGCAAATTAAAAACGTGTTAGTTTTAACGTTTGACAGATAATTGTTTGATGTTTTGCCGAAATTTGGCACGCTAAGCCATTCATTCACACTATACGTTCCTCAATTACTACACAATTCTCATCAATTATCAACCTAGACGCATAAATAGATTATCAGGTGGAATGTCAATATGACAAATGTATTGTTTGTATCGTTGATATGATTGTGTCGAAAAGCAAGAATCATCAATTTCTGGTGACCTAGTTATATCTGTCTATCAATACAATCAAGGGCGTATATGCCAGATGCGTTTTGGCGTATTGGAGAGGGGAAGTAGCCACATAGGGTGGGGGAAGGCTAATTTCAGGAGTGGTGGGAAGGTCGGTTATCTCCGGGCTCTCAGCTTTGCAATATTCTGACGGCCTTGTCGGAGCCAAGCATGCTAGTTGGGGTTATCGGAACGTTTGACGTTCTATGTTCTAAAGGTATGCATGAGCGTCTTGTTTATAGTCTGGACCGCAGGGGCATCGAGGCCGCAATATGTACTTCCAAATAGGTTTTGTTCATATGGCACAGTTTGGTTGTGGTACCAGTTTTTCGGACTTAAGGCCAACGCTCTAAAGGATAGTTGCTGAGGAAGGAATATTTAATATTTCAATATCCGGCTGATACAAATCAAAAACATGAGCAATTTAATGCTGACACGGAACAGTATCGAATATACCCTATTTCACGGGTATCCATCACCCTTTGTCGTCTACTGAGGTTAACAGCTGATCAGCAAGTGAGCTTTTAGTATTAGTCTGAACGGTGACAATAATGAATCGGGTATAAATACAGTAAAACTTGTTTGTGGCTTTTTGATTTTTGTATGCAAACTAACTTTTCTAACTAAAAGAGCTGTTAGCAAGTACAAAATGAACTGTAGCGTGCAAAAAACCAAACAAAATTCGCTTCTATCTGCCTGGCGTTGACAGATCCGTCAGAATTATGCGTCTTGTGCCGATGTGGGACATTTTGAGATATTACTAGATAATCAGCTGTCATTCTACTGTGTTGAGACGGGGTATAGAAAACTATAGTGGATACCAAATAAAACCCGATGCACGTCATCGGTCTGGAGCTGTGCGCTGTTGCCAGAATTTGCACATTTTCTTTTAAGCAAATAAATTTAATAAAATAAATTGTTTATATATACCTACCATTTACTATAATACCATTATATTAAAAATAAATAAACTTGTTATAAAATTAAATTCCTTTCTGAATAAAAACACCTGATTTTGGTAGATATTCAATGATATGAGCTCTTTACACCGACTCTTAAGTTGTTTTGGATTTTGGATACTTTACACCACTTCACAGTAACTGTTGTTCTGAAAAGAACAATTTTTAATTTTCAAGGCAACGATTCAAAGCTCAAATAGCGCAAAACTCACAAACTAAACAATAAAGAACTAATAGTACGACAACAGGACAATGGCAACTGATGTCAACAAATGAGAAGTGGCAACCTCACATTTCTCTGCACGGCACTACCAACCGAATCTAGACGGGGAAATTTAAACTTCAAGTAGAAATGTCACATTGAATGTAGTCAACTGTTGGTAACCATGATTTTTATGAATGACATCACCTATGACGTGCATCGGATTTTATTTGGTATCCACTATATTGTCATTGTTTTCTACTTTTTCGGGTCAGCACTCTATTTTCAGGTTATGTCACAAATAACTATTCGCACCAAATTGCTGGTGCTTTTGATTTATCTCATCTGTTTTATCAGCGTGAAATTTCCTGCATTTCAAAAAGAAAACACAATACGAGTGCGCTGACGCTTACATGGAACGGTGAAATCTAGAAATTTCTGAAGGAGAAAAAAGACTATGACAATCAAGTAGGCCATAAAGGCGTTCTAAAATTGTAGGAACGACTGACGATACGGCCCTTGGTCTAAACGCAGTATCTCAAGGATCGCTGTTTGGTCCTATCCTATTTTTAGTGTATATCAATGATTAAATAAATTTAGACATAAATAGTAAATTCGTAGTTTTTGTTGAGGATACCACAATACTTTAGCTAGAAACAGATACAAATGAAATAAAGACGTATTACCCGATGAATGGCGTATTAACAACTATTACTTATCTTTTAAGGTAAGTAAAACAAATATTATGACACGCCAAGTTTAAATTCTAAGTTTTTTACTTAAACGGACAGAGAGTAGAACAACCAGTATTCTATTGCCATTGCCATCTTTCGATGCCCTTTTCAACGTTCGACAAATAAAGGTATGTTAACATCCATATTCGCTAAATAAAAGTGGTCCCAGTTGTTTCAAATTATTTTTCATTACAAAGTCAAATTCGTCTTTAGAGTTGAAATAAAAGGACGGTGATTCAGTAATTGACCATGTCTATGGTCAGGAAGAAGAAATGGGAATCCATTTAATATACCACTCCATCTGATTTGCAATGATACTGGTTATGATGATTAGAGATCCTAGAATACTGAACTATTAGTGGTGACGGTAACTGGAGCTAAATCGGTTGTACGCATTTCCGAAAATAGTAGGCGTGGACAAGCTGCTGATGTGAAGTGACAAATGTTTCGCGGCAGCGCTTTAGGTTCCAACATTGGGTGAGGTGCGCTCTAGCTCTGTCCGTTTTGGGAATAAGTACACATTGGAATATGATCGATAATCCTTCAAGTTGCTACTCCCTGTCCACTGCATGATTGATTCATTGCCGATCAATGCCAAGCTGACGAATTTCATATACAGAGGACTAAAAAATACGAATAGAGATTATATGATAGACAAACCACAGTGAGGCCCGTCTCCACAGATCATCTAAGCAACTATTCCCCGCTTTGAGCGTTCTGTTTCAAATAAAAGCTAAGGCAGAACCGAATGGGAGTTTATAGCCCGTCACATTACTTTTTACTGACGTTTCTGCCACCGCGGTGGATTTTTCCAAAGTAGAAATGCGGCAGAAACGTCAATCCAAGCGCGGGACTGTTGCATGCTGCATTTGAATTGTTCATGGATACAAAATGGAAGAGATAGCATTCGACACCTCAAGCAAATCATATGCAATAACAAACTGGAAGTTAAAAAACTTCTGGTCTACCAGTCCGCCTGGCAAATGAAATTCCGTTAAATTTTGGGTCGCAATTTACAAAGGAACCTGAAAGACAGTTGTTTTATTATATATACAGGCTGATTTTTTGACATACCTTCTGTAATTGTCATCATGCTTGTGACTGATATCATTAAAATGATAGCCAGCATTTATAGAAGTTAGTGCAGATTGACGTGATAGCATTGCCTGCGAGACTCTCCTTCGGTGCTGGCGACATCTATCGAGGACCGTGCCAGTAACTGGGCTTCTATATCGACGCGAAGTGACCTCGAATATTCTAGACTGCCGCTTTGTCTAAATGTTATATCTAGTCAAGTTAAATAAATTAATGCATTTTGTGGAATTCAGTGTTTTAATCCACACCCAAAAGAACCCAGAAAAATGCTACATTATAAATAAAAATCATGTGGATACTACTTTAGAGTGGATATTAAACTAAAATTAGCTTGATAGGTTTTGTTTGGATACCGAGAATCAAACAAAATTTTATTAGGTAACGACCATACCACGCTGAGAACTTCGAAAAAAAAATTGTTGCTCTCGTCCGATCGCAGAAGCTAAGCAGCGTCTGGCACGGTTAGTACTTGGCTGGCTGACCACCTGGGAACACCGCGTGTCGTTTGCTTTTTTTAATTTTTGATCTAAAAACAAAAATATCTTCTACTCGAAAGTTTGCGATGTGCGGAAAATAAAATATAAACAATGCTTTTTTACATTTGAAGCAAGCCTTACTCATAATTGAAAGTTCCTTAGATTTGATAAATATTCCATAGATTTAGTAACACTGATCCGACATGTAAGATCAACGTAAGAATTTTGTTTTCATTACAATATATTCATAACTGCCTTTACACGAATAAATGTTTTTATGGACACCCTCTATACATACTTGCAAGCATAGACGAAACGTACGTCCATGTAACCCGTACTATGCAACCGGTAATACAAATTCGGGTAGATACGGTTGCCTATACAAGGTGTTTCAGAACTAAGGCCCGTATCGTCAGTCGTTCCTACAATTGTAGGGCGCGTTTATGGCCTCCTTGATTGTCATACTCGTTTCTCTCCTTAAAAAATTTCTAGATTACACTCATCCCGTGTCAGCGTCAGCGCTCTCCTATTGTTAAGATATGTTTTGCTTTTAAATTGTAGGAAATTTCAGGCTGATAAAACATGAAATAACTCAAAAGCAAGCACAATTTGATGTAAATAGAAGTTTGTGACATAACCTCAAAATAGAGCGTTGACACGGAGAAGTATAAAACTATGACAATCAAGGAGGCCATAAACGCGCCCTACAATTGTAGGGACGACTGACGATACGGGCCTAAGGGATGAGACTTCTAGGGGTTATTATATATTATTTGAGTATAGGGACCCATTTCCGGAAAAGTGCCACTACGGCCCTAAGACGCGTTAAAATTTAGAAAGACGATGAATTTCCCAAACAGGATTTAATACATTTAATTTTTGTCTTTTGTACATGATATCATCACAACAATTATTGTTCAAAATGTCTTCCTCGAACCTGAATACACTGATTTAAACGTCGCACATGATTTCAACGGACTTGACTAAAAATTTGTTACTCGTTTTGAATGATTTCAATAATTCGTCCAATCAAGTCTTGCTCTGTTTCTACTGGAGTTTCATAAACCAAAGACTTTACATATCCCCACAGGAACGGTGTATTCAGGTTGGAGCAAGACTTTTTGAACAATTGTTGTGATGATATAAATGTACAGAAGGCAAAAATTAAATGCATTAAATCCTATTTAGGCAATTCATTGTCTTTCTAAATTTAGCGCGTCTTAGGGTGGTAGTGACACTTTTTCGGATATGGGTCCCTATACTGTTACACTGAATAACCCCTACAAGTTTGATCCCATAGTTCTGAAACACCCTGTATAACATTGCACGTTTCATATTATTCAGATGTCATGCACTTTTTTTATTCAATTTTCAATCACCCTGTATACATATTTGCAAGCATAAACGAGACGTACGTCCATGTAACCCGTACTATGCAACCGGTAATACAAATTTGGGTAGATACGGTTGCCTATACATGGTGTTTCAGAACCAAAGGATGAAACTTTTAGGAGTTATTCAGTGTAAGAGTAGAAAACATTTGAGTATAGGTACCCATATCCGTAAAAGTGTCACTTCGGCC